TTATCGACGAGAAATGCTCGCAATCGATCTCGATTACCAAATCGCAAAGCCCGGTCCGTGACGTCAGTAAATACGAGATTGCGCAGACTATCGCTTTTTATGCATTCCTTCTTTTATATCTCGCTGTATTAACAATAAACCCATAACGCGCACTGTTATATTCCTCTTCCATTTGTTATTTCTCTTCACCGGCGATACGTAGTGAAGTGCGTTGTTTCCAGGATTTATCTCTTTTTTTTTTTCTTTTTTTTCTTTTTTTCTTTTTTTTTCTTTATCTATCATTGGCGAACGGTTTATAATCTGCGCTTTTTGCCGACAGAGAATCATACGCCTATATGATATACGCGTGAAGCTGCATGTAAATATGCATGAGAGAATCGTGCGTGATGTGTTCCGCGATTGCACGGAATGTAGATTTATACGGTAGCGTTTCGTAAGATGCACTTGCAAACTCACTGTAACAACATGGGTGTGTTCAAGAAATTTTATGTATATTATATCTCTTTTTTTTTCTTTTTTCAAATCACCAAATGTGCTCGGTATTGAGGATTCAAGTCTTGTAAAGATATATTTCTGAAAGATGCGAGCCTTACGAAACACTTTCTGATGAAGCATTGAAATAATGATACATGAGGGAAGCTCATAAACCACTAATAAAATTAGTTTCCTCCCCATGCAGATATTAATACGTTCGTTCCCAGGATTTTTATTTTGGCAATTCTTCCCGCAGACTATTCTGTATTTCTTTCTTATGTGATTGTGTAAAACAGACTTGGCTTGCTTATATGGACATAGAAAGAGAAATGATTAATGTCACACATGTGTGACGCTGGTGGTAGCGAATGGAACTGAAAATCCTGAGTAAAGCTGAGTTTGACGTTCGGGAGTTCGATGACCGCGTCACACATGTGTGATGAACACGTTAAACTTGTTCCTCTAATGTCTCTAGAAGTGCCTATAGAAAGTAACATGACAATTTTGTTCGATGCTATAATCGAGATATGCAAGTAAACATAGGCCGAGAGTTTCACGCAATTTTCTCTCTTACATAATCCGATACGTTGCCGCTTTAATTTAGCGTTTGTTTGCTCTTTTACGCAATATAAGAAGATTTTTCGTCTGAACATTATACCCGTGTGGAAAAGCTTTGCCAACGATACTTTGAACACAACGATATCGGCACGAAACGCATGTTAAGAACGCTCTTTTGTAGGATTCGTTGAACTCCGTCGATAGAGGAAGTCGAGGTAGTTTCGAATGCCAGGGTGCGTCGCCGCCGTATGGAGAACAGCGTTCACAACACGTAATTAACAAAATAATTAACATCTAAAAATAATAAATTATTATTTAATTAATTAATTATCTAATATGTTGCAATTTATTATTTGATATATATTATAAAGCACATTGGCAGCGTCGAGTATTCACATCTCTGTTTTCTACTCGCATTAGCCATTAGTCAGCCGACACGACGAATTGCGAGAACGAGCGAGGCAGCTCCTGGAGCAAGCCAGGAGTCAGACGAAGCCAGCCGGGTTCGTTTCCACCGCGATCAGTCCCACCGAGGTTCAATATTTTCATTTATGTAGCGTTAGAAAACCGTTGTTGTCGGTGTAACGAGAAGCTGAACAAGATTATAAGTTTCTATTATGCATTGTGACGTGTTCCAGGCGCAAAATGACGACGAGAGACAGCAACAACTGCGGGAGAGAGCGAGGCGCTTGATCGCGGAAGTGAAAATGGGTGTAACCCCGAGCCAGATTAACGACGACAACAGCAGTGATAGACGATCGATAGATGATCAAAATAATAGCCCCAGACGTAGCATTACGCCGTCAACGCCCGGCGACAGACTCAGTATAAAGGTTGATATCTCTTCTTCGAAATCTGTTTGTGCTGTACAGGATCGGAAGTTATCTCTGAGAAGTAATGCGTTATCGTTATCCTCTCAATTTCCATTGGTTCCTCTCATCGAGTTTTGAAGAGCTTTTCTCTTTTTGGGATTCGCTTCTGTTCATTTTCAATATATTCTCATGTGTGCAAAGTAACGACATAAATGTAACGATTATCTTCTCTCGTTACCCAAAAACTATAATTGGCCTCACTATTAATGAAAGAATTAACGAAAGAAAGAATATGACGTTATTGAGTTGTTATTGAAAAGAAGTAACTCGTAACGCGTTACTTCCCAATCCTGGTGTTACATATACGTATTGTATGTAATTCTCATCATCCAACATCTTGCTGATTACAATGATATACTGAATCGTGACCGATTATCGTTTTTAGTCTGAGTACAATGGAAACATCCTGGGCAATGCGAGTGTGATAGATGGAGATAAGAAAACCGGCTCGCCTCTGTATTCCTTCTCGAAGATCATCGAAAGAATCTCGCCCGACAAAGGAAGCCCCGACAGAACTCCGTATACGCTTCGCGGGGTACGTCAATATGCGAGGTCGACTCAACCGATGAGATTTTATCTATTATTTAACGATGATTTTATCTTATTTTTGTTTGTTGTTTTATGCTGACTCGACAACCAGTTGGGCAAAGACATGACGTCGTACATTCAAAACGAGCTTGAAGCGCTTGAAAGGGAACAGAACCAGATCGACATACAGGCCGGTAAGCTGGAGAAACAACTCAGAGCGGCTATGGAGAGTGATAACGAAGATGAGACGGAAAGACTGATGTCCTTGTGGTTCACTCTCGTTAACAAGAAGAATGCGCTTTTAAGAAGACAAATGCAACTCAATATCTTGTAAGTAATCTCACTCTTCCGTTATATATATATATATATCTTTTTTGAACATCGAAAGATAAGTTTATCAATCTCTTGATAATTGAAACGTTTAGTTGATTTTAAAGAATACTATTCAAGCACTTGTGTTTCTACTTTTGAATATTTATGATTGTTAGAAAATTATATGGTCGATTATACCAACAATTACAATTCAGTAAGAGTCGTGTATCTTTAGAGAGAAAGAAGACGATCTGGAACGACGATTCGAGCTTTTGAATCGCGAATTAAGGAGCATTCTCGCGGTGGAAGAATGGCGCAAGACATCCGAGCAAAAGATGCGTGAGAATTTACTATTGGAAGAATTGGTGTCCATTGTGAATAAAAGGGATGAATTAGTGCATCATCTCGATACGCAAGAGAGAGCGTAAGTGCAATATACACATACATCGCTTTGCCGTTCTAAAATATTCGAATCTTAAGTTTTGTTTTTGCTTCCAACAATTTTTAGCATCGAGGACGATGATGAGATAGAACGCGACTTGTCTCGTGCCGGATTAGCTCAACGAAACAAAAATTGCGTTGTGCAATGAAGAGTTGATTGTTTGTATCATGATTTTCTCAACGCTGTTTTAAAGGTAAATCTATTTTAAGTTTCTCTCCGCTTGCTCATCCTTCAGATATATTTACTTTTACTCATAGAAAATAATAACATATAGAAACATCATGCATCTTAACGCTTTTCAGGCATAACCGTTTTTGCTGTGGAGTTGCCAAAGAGTCGACGAAATTAGATGATGGGAAGTCAGATATGTCGTTTTATGGTTTACAAAGGAATGGTTTTTAGGGTCTCGTTTTTTCTTCTTTTTTTTTTATATATTGTAGATTAATTCACCGAGCGTGATATTCCATGTTTTGCTTTCAATATAAACTTGCCGGCTGTCTGTCTGCAACAAGAAGGGAAAAGGAAGGAGAGAAAGAAGAAACAAGAAGTTAAATCGGCAAATATCGAAATATTAGACAAATATTAATATAAAACGATGTGCAAGATTTTTTTATAAAGTATCGAGCACAATGTTTATTATAAGGTTATAATAACTGTTTCGCCGTGTGCTTTGAGTGGAATGTTGTGCGATTAATAGAAGCGCATGCAAATAGACGAGGCGATATGCTCTACAGAGTAAGCACTTTATATGGAATCATATGATAACACTTTGCGATCAGTAGTAAGCAAGAAGAAGGATAGACGTAATATTTCTTTTTATAAACGGGAGATATTCTGTCTTGGAGCAAAAGTATGACGAACGCAGAGAGATGTATGAAGGAGCTCGGGAAGTATAACTAGTTGGTTAATAAGGATACCTTTACAATGGCGGGTAAATTGCTACTCACACTATCATCATTTAAGAAGGTCAAAGATGAGAATCGTGGCGCGGGAATGTACGCGAAAAGCAATATAGCTAGATATATATATCTCGCGCACCATTACCGATCCTAGATCGATTTGCGGAGGGTAGATTAATCGAAGCGTTATGAAAGTAGGTATCACGTTGGCGTTGTATATACTTTGTCGGGCTCGCAAGCGGTCATTTCCATTGAGCATTCGCATACATACTCTGATTGTGCCATATAAGCGTTGATGAACTTTTTACACCGCGGAGAAAAATGATGATTTTTATCGCTCTGGTGCGTGATCCTAAGAGGAGTCGTGAAGAAAGAAAAAGAAATAAAGAAAAAGCCATTTCTTACACGGTGAATTTGCGTACAGGATGTCGTCACGTTGGCTGTAATTTTTTAATAACGATGCAGCATAATATTTTTTGAATATTTCGGCATGTAGTTGCGAGTTGTCATCGCATAAGGAGAAAAAAGGGAGATATGTTCGCTCAAAATTCCCTCGTTTTAGCGCTTATTCGGCCTAACGGATCTGGCAATGCGGATAGAAAAAAGAAGAAATGACGACGAATGCTCATTAAAAGAATGTTCTCAACGAGATGGGCGTTGTGTCAGACATAACGCGTCCGAATTAACTGGTAATTAAGTGTGCATGATCGTCACCTCTCTGTCTCTTTCTCTCTCTCTCTTCTCTCTCTCTCTCTCTCTCTCTCTTTCTCTCTCTCTCTCTCTCTCTCTCTCTCTCTGTATTAATTTATTTAAATCCGAAATTGTCGGAGGACATATTGTGAGGGATACACTTTCTCCCCGACATGGTTGCTTCGTAAAACTATTACGAGCGCAGCCCTTGCATGCTGAAAGCGATGTTATATGTTAGGGAAAACGGATGTTTACCGGAACATTAGTCTCTCTGATGGTACAAACGAAACGTGTTATTTTTTATTAAATACTCTGAGTGTGTATGTCGCGTTATATTGGCGCCGTTAATATCCGCCGCATAGTTAGCGTGATCTTCCGAAGTCGAGAATATACAGTAAGTTGTCTCTTTCTCCGTCGAATGATCTCCGTTCAGGTGTCCGCAAATTGTGAGCATGGATATAGGCCGACGTATACAAACAATTCATGATAATTGTTCGAAGCGTATTTATAATGTATATGCTTGAAACATTGGGAGGCTTGCGAGTGAGTGCTATGACAATTGATTCAGCTGTATATGTACACATTATATACGTTCCAAGCAGACCATATACAAGCACTCCCGAAAACACGAACATGTATCGAAATCTACTTAGAGTATGATTAAAGCTTTGGGAATAAAGCGTCAGGAACATATCCCTTTTTTTGGACATCGTAACGCATACGTCTAATTAAATCGACGTGTATCTCACGATTATCCTATATTTCAAACTGCCCTGTTTTTATTTTTCCTTTTATTTTTCATTTCGTTTCTCCAACAGAAACCAGTGATTATTATTAATTTAAAGTTGCCCGCGTGCGATATATCAATAAAAGTGACAAATCCTCTTGACATTTAAGAGAGGAAGAAATTGTTGAAACATATGCAGTTGGAACAATGAGAACATAAAGCAGACAAATAGTTTCATCGTGGTATATATATATATTTGTCAGTTTAAATAATATAATTTTCGCTGTCGCGTGATTTCTGATTTAGGTACTAGCTACTAATTCTGAGGAGCGATAAAGAATTTAGCAATAATTTATTATTGTAACACTTATGAATATTTGTATTTACGTTGAGACGAAATTGCGACTATATACGAGTCAACTAATTTCTTTCGCTCCGTATTATAATGTGAAACGTAATTTTGCAAAGATAACCGTTCTTGCCATTGTTATAGTTTTGTGCAGATACGCTGTTCTTTTTCCCTTCGCGCATGTTAATCGTGATGGCGCATGTGAAAGTGCAAGCAAGCGAAAGAAGAAACGAATCACACAATAGTTGCCATTAATTAATAAAGAAAGACTTATAAAGGGCACTGCAGAAGGAAATAATAAATATGATATTATCCATCTAATCTATCGTTGTAAGTCGTACTGTTTGAAGATCAAACGCCCGTCGAAAAGTAGAATCCATTCAACGACACATATACCGAGCATGTTTGTATATTTTTTCGTCCGGAGAACGTGAGTTTGACGCAACGCGACGTGAGAGAAACACGATCTTTGTGTCTCCGTTTTCAACTAATCAGTAACTTTTATCACTCTACGAATATCAATAACGCCTTATCACGCTATTTCTCTGCAAAAATAGTTACTTTTGTAATAACTTCTGAATGCTCAATCCAAATATGTGTATCGTTGGATGTATCTGAGGACTCCTATTAATTTGGCATTTAAAATTTTTCTTTGTTAAAATAATTTACCGCTATACTTAAATCAATCTTGATAGCAAGCGTTTCACACATAAGACATCCAACCGGCGAAGTTTTGACCTATCCAAAACTTCTGCTTTCTTGTGTAGAGCAATTTAAAAATAACTCCTCAATTTTTCTTTCAACATTTCTATTTCTTCGAAATTATATCCTGCAATGATGATGCGGTTAACGCAGAAAGAAGCGAGTAAATGTTCCCTCACGTATCCCTCACCTGTACTAAATATTCATCAGTTCCCGCCTGCCGACACTCCAGACTTCTTATCACTTTATCATCAGATATAAAAAATTGCTTTTGACACTTGTTTTTTCTCTTTGATCCGTTCGAAGTTTCAATATTTCGACCGGAAGATTCACTTGTCAGAAATTAAACAGATTCTTACGTGAGCGGCCAGTCGCTAAACAAGCTACGCAAGGCAACACTAACAATACGCTACATTTTATGTATAATGCACACACATGTACATGGCATGAATGTACATATTCGCGCGGAAGCGATTATTGAGAGGACCGGGTCAAATGCCGGAGTCAAGTTGCTAATGTTCAGCAGGGTTAAGTGCTTTCTTGACCTCTAAGAAGTCTTCTTTAACTAGACGGCAGGCCTCATTTTACAATGTTAAATTAAACGTGCCACGTTTTGACAAATTATTTAAACAATGTTAAGCGATAAGACAGGCCGAACTTCATTTTAGCCAAACTATAGTTCAAATTCTATAGTTTTGTAACTTCTAAAATATCTGAATAAAAGAAATACAATGAGTGCCAATATCTCTCTCTCTCTCTCTCTCTCTCTCTCTCTCTCTCTCTCTCTCTCTCTCTCTCTCTCTCTCTCTCTCTCTCTCTCTCTCTCTCCCTCTTTCACACACACTCTTTTACACACGTTTTCTAAAAAGGAAAATTCTAAAAATTTTAACTGACAAGAAAATGCAAAAGTCTTAGATATTTGATATACTTCCAAGAAAAGAGAGGACCGGAAGTATCTTTGTTTATATATTATTTAACACACTTTGTTTATACTGTAGGATTGAAAGTTATGTAACTTGAAATTTCTCATTTACCTTGCAGCATCGGATATGATAAAATAATGCGTAGTTGATACAGCACTCACGTAAAAAACTGGGCTAGGCGTAGTATATAATAGTGCGTACTATACATACAAGTGCTATACCGCGACGCACATAGAACAATGTTTACACGTTCGTATTTATCAAAATGCGATCTCGAAAAGATTAATATTGTTGTGGTGTACAACGTAAAAAATCTTCTTAAATTTTGATTGATATAAAAACTTTAAAATTCGCAAGAACGGTAGGAGGCGGGATTGAATTAGAAAATTTGATATTCCTTTAAAAAATCGGAATCGGCATCGTGTTAAAGTGCAGAAAATCCAAAATAATAAATAAGTAAAAAGTTTTGCTCAAACTATTTATTCATATATTTCATACTCGCTGAAAATAAAATTTCTGTCTTATTTCTGAAGGGTCGTTTTCATGTACTTGCATGTCAAGATAAGCATATTGGTAAAAAGTATGGGTTTGGTATTTTTTGTTGCTTCAGAACGTATCTAAAATCCATTAAAATCGCAAGAAACATATATACTGTGTACATGAAATTCATATACACAGTCATTCAATGCAGAAGGAGAGATGTACGGCAAGAGAGATACAGAGAGAGAGAGAGAGCGAGAGAGAGAGAGAGAGAGAGAGAGAGAGAGAGAGAGAGAGGAGGGCAAGGAGAGAGAGAAGCATGCTCTTAGTAAAGAGGGTGTTGGTTCTTCAGTATCACACTGGACACGATCGACATCACAGTTTTCAAACAGTTTTGTGAATTATTCGATATAACGTAATTTATGTGACGTTATTAATTTTGAAAACGTAACTGTTGAAACGAGTTTTGTCATCCCCCATATAGTGCAACTAGTTGTTTAGTCATTTTGAAAGATTGCATCTAATATCCAGAATGAGTTACAGTGTACGCGCAGTGATCATTGTCTTCGGTGTAATCCTTCTTGTAACGTCAGGTGAGATTAGCAGTTTTAAAGAAAAGTAAATCAAACCTTCGAAAAAGAAGGAAAGTTGGAAAAATTATGTATGTTGCAACAAAATATATAATATTACAAATATATTATGTTTATGTTATAGTTATGTCGTCAAACATAAAAGCGGAGATAAAATACTTTAAATTCTCTTTTGTTTCCTCGCTATGCTGAGATATTTAAAGCGTTCTTCTCTCTTTTTTCCGCACATAAATTTTATATACTGATCGATTCTTTATCCATCTATTGATCACAAAAATTCGAAATTGTTTTATTCAGTCGCATTATCAAGACAGATTCCTTGGAACGACTATTTTAATTTTTTAGAAATATAGTTGCTTTTTGTATATACACATACATTACAGTGTATAAGGTTAAATTCGAAATAGGATTACTTCTAACGGAAAGTAAATGAAATAAAGATAAATTTAATTCATAATTGTGAATAGCACTTTTTTATCAAATTAAGTGAAATCTCGACATTTGTTTGAGGAGAGGTTCCGATATTTCATATAAAATCGATATAATATATTTTTAGAAAAAATAAAATTATTATATCTTGATATAAAAATTTTTATTATACGATTTAATTATATTGTTTAAACATCATTATTGTATGTAAAGTTTTTTTGTGTATTTCTCATCCAAATTATATAACGAAATGCAAATAAAAGAATTTTCGAAATAATTAATAATAATATATACGAAATAAAAAATAAAAAATAATACGAATAAGAATATATAGCTCTCTGTGTATATAAAACACAGTAATTTCATTTTTCCTATTTAAGATATTTCGGTTATGGATATATACAATTTTAATAATATCGATATATCCTCGATTAACTCATACGATAGTTTACAATCAAATTAGGAAGAAAAACAAAATGATACATATATTTATTCTGCAATTGTTTGCTTTTGAGCGCAATAAAAGCTCTCGCTGAAACGTTTCTTATTCTAATTTGATGACGTTTCCTGTCGTGTTACATGGTGCGTTACACCTCAATGCGTTTTCCTAGAATGACACCATCCCAATGGTGTGCAGAAGAATGAGCGTGTGCTATTAATATGGATGGCTATTCAGCGTTACATCACTTTTAAATCATAAACCGCACCTGCGCATTTTCTATTATAGTATTGCGCAAGTGTTCTCCATGACTTTTGTTTTTATTTCATATTTCATGGACAACTCAATTCGAACACGAACGTTACTTCCGGGTGGTAGAGGAGTGTACTCATACACACGAGAAAACATGCGTTGCCATCAGTAGAATCATTCAACAGTGCCATAGTTGGAGATTGTTGAAAATTTGGCTTCATTAAAAGTGGCTTCAAACAATTGAGAGTATTTGACTGAATAGAAATCTCTTGCAGGGACCTGTTCCTGCAATCCGAATTCTCACGTCTGTCTCCCAAACGATAGAGAGTCATCTACACGAGTAGAATTTTCTTTCCATGTACTAAATCTGCAAAAGTGCTCGATCTTGTAAGAAAGATAATAGAGGGAGCGTCCATAATAAAATCTCCTGCATTTCTCAAGGGTCTGCCTTACGATGCTGGGTTTGTTCGTCCAACGTGAACGTCATGTGCGACGATCCGATGAATACTACGGACCATCAAACCGCATTCCACGTAAGAACATGTGAGGCAGGTCATTACGGCTCTGCTAAACCCATCTGCCGCAAGATTGTCAAGAGAGGTAAAATTCCTCGGCGTATTGCGTATATTCTATCGCGTATGAATACACATGTAAAAAATGTATGAATATACATGTAAAAATACTGCGCGTACGCTGTAGAAACGCGCTCTCGCGATGGTGAAAAAATTTTGCTGCGCGTAAGAACGTGAGATAGCGCGCACTATGCTCGACATCCTCAAGTTGATGCGTCGTAACTCGTTTCTTACAGGATGACGCATTACGGAGCTTAAATCGCACTTTTAATGCGTTTTATCCTCTCTGTCTCAAATGTGACATCAGACACGGTAATGTTCGGTTCCGCTCTTGACTCACATCGCGTGTATGTAAATGACGGTAATTGAATATTAAGAAAGGTTGATATAAATGACCGTAATTGGATGTTAAGAAAGGTTGAAACCATATCCGCGACGGAGACAAATCACTCTACTGCAAACTTCGTTTTGACGTCGTTCAGAATAATACGTTGACGACATGATTGATGCATTTCACACATGTTATGAAAGAAAGTAGCAAATAGCAGCAAATAGATAATAAGTCGTTTTCATCGCCGATTTAATGCATCGATGATGCATTAAAAGGACATCAGTGAAGCATTTTAAGGATACTGCGCAATTTTTCGGCAAATTAAAAAATTCGGTGTAATTAAACGGTAACCGAACCCTGTAGAAAAATATTTTCACGATCTCTCATACAGTTTCTTAGATTTCCATAAAAATTTAAGAACTTTCTTGGAACATTTGTTAAATGTTTTTTAAAAGTTGCAATGTATTTGGTATTTTAACAAATAATTTAAATTTGTACACTTTTCAGTATTGCTCTGATTTTCCAATTTACTCTGAAAAAAGAACAAAATAATAATAATAATCTCATTTATTTAAATAAACGCTTTCTTAGATTTTTTCATAAATTTGAAGTATTGAAGTCTTTGTTGATTTTAAAAATATTATAACTAATTTCTTTTTCTCAAGAAAAATCTTCGCGTATATAATATTCGCATGAGCAATCACGATTATTCTTCTAGCAAAGCCCTTGAATCGTGAAATTATGTAACCGGCAATGTAACACTGTTAGATAAACGATATGCGCGTTTTCTGGTATAGGAGAAAAGACGCAAAATGATCAGATGTGTTACGTGTCGATTCAGCGATAGCGAAATATCGCGTTGTCATCGGAATGCCGGGCGGATATTTTGCGACGGACAATTCGAGTATTTGCAAATAAGTCATACGATTTGTTTCGTACATTTCAGAATATGGCGATCGAGTTGTGATACGTCAGTGTTCCACTCCGTACCACGACGAAGTCAACATCGCCGACGGTCCATGCAGCACTGTATCGCAGCCGGGGCATGACGTAATCGAGTCCTGCCATATTTGCAGCACTGATTTATGCAATTCCGCGATAAGCGCACGTACAACGCGACTGCTCTACGCCGGTACACTGACACTCTTTGTTTATATTTTCTTCCAGTCAAAATACTGCAATTTTTAACCACACGTGTTGTAGCATAGCGCGTAACCGTGACCTCTCTCTTTCTCGCGAGTGAGACTAATCTCAACGACTAAACCGCGAAAGATATTCATGATAGTGTAGCCGCGCGAACAGTTAACGCTGTTTATACATGTAACTAACAAATTGTTATTCCCTTGTTTAAAGTCGGTTCTGATTCGTGAAGGGGCACGCGTGAGTGCTTGTGGAAATAATATCGCGCAATTAGTGTCTTTGTTTCGCGGACTGCTCGAAGAAGATGTAGCTGAGAGAAATTTGTACTTTATACACTCACACACTACACACACACGCGCACACATACACACACACACACACGTGCGCGCGCGCGCGCGCGCACGCACGCACGCACGCACGCACGCACTCACGCACATGCCGTTTGGAATGCATTTATAATTCTGTTTCGCGATGGAAATTGTAAATAATAAGCGCGCGAATTACGAGCGACACTGATTTGCCAGTTACTGTAAGTACAAAATAAAGAATGTAACATAATTACGTGTAAACTTGTTTTATCAAGGAACGTCTAACAATTTCATACAAGTCTAAATTACTTTTGCCGTTTACATGCGATACGAAATCAGCTTCACATTCGTTTCCTTGACTTATATCGCATCTGGTACTTAGCAAACTATCGCTTCTAATGATAATAATAATAATTGCGCAATGTAGATATATATATATATATATATATATATATATATATACCGCGTTAAGTTCACCGCCACGATGTATCATCTCTGTTGGATCAGTCTTGTCCCGTTCGGAATCTTACCTCGTCTGCAAAGACGACACTCTAGATTTTCTCCCTTTCGCTATGTCTCTTCTACACAAGTATACTCTAAGTATAAGAGCGAAAGCCGCGAATGTAAAGCACGAGAAAGCTTATCAGCAATCCGTCCAGCGATTAGAATAATCAATATATGTTCCCGAAAGGCTGGGCTGTTGTTCACAGTCCCCGCGACTGTGTTTGTATTTGTCTTCCTTTGGAACAATTCTAAAGATACTCCATCCTCTTCTTCGTAGATTTCGCATGTACTTCTCACTCATATGAGGAATTATATTGTCTCGAGTGAAGTGTGTGTAATCGTTGTACACAATATATAAAAATCATTGACACTTTATTATATACTTATTTTGCGAAAGTTGCACTATATAGTGTAACGAGCCCTAATAGTGGTCATTCACTGTGTTCGCGCATCGTATTCAATCTAGAGGAGGCATCGTACGTATATCCAACGAAAAAAAAAAGAAGGAGAAAGCAGAAAACGGAGCGCACGCTACGAGAACCGGCACTTCATGCGCCGACCGCTCATTTACGGACTAAACGCGCTGACCAAAGACACTTTATTGTATATTATAATCAACTTTTATCGGAGAAACTACAAAAAAGATAACATTTATACTTTCCTTATATAAATAAAACCTATGTTACTGAAATGTTTCGCTTCGCGTCACGCGCCACGCGTTATGTAAAACCACTCCGATTGTATCTCTGCTTCAATTTTCTCCAATGCGTCTCGCATGATCTTTCACCGAGTGATGTCAGACATCCGTTTTTAACCGTCGCAGTCCACATGGCGATACAATTACGGCACACATAGGTAGGTAGGTATAACCTTTATTAAGTTTCTAACGAAATTAAGAGTGCTTCAGGCCGCTAACTTCGTTGGAAAAAAATATGTCTAAACCGTTCTGCAACCGACTGCACGATCGTCGTCAGAGAGAGAGAGAGAGAGAGAGAGAGAGAGAGAGAGAGAGAGAGAGAGAGAGAGAGAGAGAGAGAGAGACTGGCTGAGTGTTCTTTTGAAGAATTTTTTTCTGAGGGTAAAGAGTAAGTGAAGTTCTGAAACTTATGAGAAAAGATACAAGTACGTCGACCTTTCTGCCGGCGATCGTACATGACTTTTCACGTCGCGTCGCGTCGCGTCAGTTTCTACCGCTCGACGAAGAGAACTTGTTGGTGGTGGTTGGATCGCATCTGCAGACGCAGCAGGAAGGGAACAGGAACCAATCCATGAATATGCCCTTGCAATCGTTATCAGGATCGTACGCGAGCAATCTGTGCCACTTGTACTTTTGCTCGCAACCACAGTCTCCGCCGCAACGATTTGTCTGTGTTTTCCTGCGAAGAAATGGCCTATGTGGCAAATTCGTATCTAATACCAAAAGTATCTTATAATACGAGCAACAATCGCCGCGATGGCTCGAGAGGAGAGAAGATCCTTGCGAACGTATCCTCGCGCGAATCCCGCGTGCATGTAATATTTTTACTTACGAGCACACTTCCTGATGTATAGCCTGCTCGAAATGTTGAGTGTTCACAATGGCGCGGATCTTTCCGGCGCTGTTACTTGCCCAGTAGGGAGTCACGATCTCGACCTTAGACTCGCACGCGTCAATTCTGAAAAATCATCGCCACACGCGTCATTCACACTCTAATTATTTACGGTTACTCCGTTGAGCTGGAGAGAAGAAATTGCTCGCAGAAATTATAGAAGAAATTGCTCAACTGCAACGTGCGGTATTTCTTTTTTTTTTCTCCAATTCTCACCTGCCGCTCTCCGAGCTGCGATTTTTCCCGAAGGACTGCCTTGCGTTTCTACTCTTACTGAAATATTCTTCGTCGATCTCGCTTTCTGCCTGTATCTCGTCGTTTTGATCTCTGGGTCCGCCATCGGGAATGTCGTGCTTCCGCACGTCTCTACTTTTTCTTCGCGTTCTAGTGCGATGTCCAGGTTCGCTCGTGCTCGATCCGTATCCTGGATTCATCTCAAAGTCGCCGTACATCCTTTTCATCAACGCCTTATTTTCATCAATAAAACGCTCTATTCGTTCTCTGCAACAATCGGTCCAATTAAAACTTCATTCACATTAGTCAATTACATTGCGCGCCGCTTATATGCAGTTTCTGCATGATTAAACAGATACAAGCGAATCTCCCCAACTGATCGTAACGGATGAAATAATCTGTACTCACATCGGGTATGTGTTCCCCGCGGTTGGGCAAAATAATTGATGATATCTTTTGATGCATGGTGCACCTCGCACCAAATCCCCCCTCAGTTCGACGCCTAATGCTACCGAAAGCGCAGTCCACAGAATCTACAAATTAATGTGTTCGTCAGATTAATGTTTGATGGCAAAATATGCGTGCAAACATAAATTTGCCATCCATTATCCGAAATATTTCAGAAAATCAATTGAACACATCTTCAACAAGTATCTTACCTATATGAAAAGATGAAGCTTAAAATATTGCTTAAGAAACTGTGTGTGTTTTAATATACTTTTAATATAGAAAATATTTTTGAATCATATTCTCTTATCTCTATTCCTATTCTATTTGAACACTTTGGCGGCTGTATGTTTCGTGCAAGAACTGTTGTCGGTACCTTTAGCAAGACTTGAGCCGTGTCCAAAGAGATCAACATCTTTGTAACATACAAACACTTAAGTCTACCACGATGCGATTCTTATCCACGTTACAATTACATACATTTTTATTATCGACAAACATTTGTTTATTTGAGTTTACTCATCGTCATTGATGTGTATTTTAGTAAAGAATGATAATTTTTAAGATATTTTCCAAGACGCAGCCCGGATCTCACGAGACAAATTAACACTGTCAAACTATATTTTCGTTTGCAGTAAGCGAATGAGCGAGAAGAGATAGGACGAGCTCTGTAAGTATGGCTCATGGGATATATTTGTACAGTTTACAATCTTTTAACAATGGCATAGCCATTTTTTAAATTGTGGTTTCAAGGGAGGTATATTTATACATATATATATATATAAGGTCACTAAATTTCTTAAAGTAAAATAATGTGAATTTTTTACATTAGTCGATTTTTCGCAGGTCGCTATGAAAAAATGAATACTTTTCGAGATATTTTATATTTTACACATAAGATATGAAATATCTCGTAAAATATTCATCTCTCGACGATCTCACCTTCATATCCGATTGCCGTGAGAAAGACAGATATATACCAAAAAATTCCATTGAATATTGAAAATGCATTGATGCCAGTTGCATTGACCAGTGTGCAAAAATTAACATTATCGACCGTTTGCTCTCGTTATTCTACGTAAACAAAAGTATCAAGACGAGGTTCTTATCACACCGAACATACCGATGGGATAATTTTGATAGATTTCAGGTAACTTCACAAGTAAGAGTCTAATGGATTAAAATCTGCGGATTTAGTTAGCTAACTAATTGGCCTATCGCTAATTAACCGGCGATTTCTAACAATTTTGTTTGAACATGTCCTGACGTTCAATCGGAAATCAAATGACGAACCATCCCGCCGATACGTCCAGCGCGAATGTCAAGTGGAACATTTCCGCGCGTGGACACGCCGGTAAGTAATTTTGTAGAAGGTCTAAACAACCGTTGCTATTTACATTTACCTCGAAAGAAACGAGATTCTATATTCTGTCCACTTATACAATTTCTATCGGACATTAACGATGTTGGTTGTCAACTTGCCTGTATCAATAAGGATTTTCCGGAGACCAATAATGACTATTGTGACGATTGAGAGCGCCGGTACTGTGGAATGTGGCTTCGTCACTAAAAATAACGAATAGGACAAAATTGAGATCTCCTCTAGGACTTTTTAAACAGAATCTAACACGTTTAATTTTATCTTTTCTAATAAGATCTTCAACTAGAGAATGATACGTTATAAGGATGGTACCGCAGAGAACGCTTAAAATTCTGTGAACTCTCGAGCATAAAGGATTGTACATAATCATATAAAATCACACAGGATTACATATAATTTTATTATACTTGTTACTGAGTTCGTCCCATCGCATCACGAACATACGCGGCGTCTTGTACGTCATCGGATCGACGATTAATTGACTGAGAATTGCCGATAATTTCGTGCAATTTCGATCTATGTGCTTTATCACCTAACTGTAATCAAAAGAATTAATAATTCTCAGAACGGAGAAGTTAACTCTTGATTGACAGCGACTTCAAATGTTGTAAAGAAGTTGTAAAGAATAAACACGAGAATTTCTTACTCGCTTTAGCAACAAACTGTCCTTTAGTGCTTAGTGGCCCACGTGGGCAACTGTGCCGGCTGAGTTAATTGCCTTATTAGGCTAGTTCGAACTTTTAGAAAGTTATCTTAACAAAGGGAAAAGATGCGTGTTAGAGTACTTTAGTTACCTGAAATTTTTTGTTAAACTATCTCTGACGTCATTAACACATCATTAATACATTATATTTGACGTCATTCTATGGCGTCATCGTTGGCTTTCCTGGTCATTGGTGTATTGAGTTGTAACATGGTCACCCTATGTGTGATTCATCCTATATATTTATTTATTTATTTACTTATAAGTCATCGAATCGGCGCTTAACCGGCAGAATCAAGCCAACGACAATTTCTACCTAAGCAATTTGTCGTCTAGTAACAACAAGAAGAAATTCATATCGTTACGACGTGTCATTTCGCCTCATATTGTGCGAGATGTGCTTCTCTGCCTACGCTCAAATAGCAGAAGTGTTTAAAATACGTCTAACCGCTACCTAAAAGACTTTGTCTGAAGCAAGTGGGATGTCTCGTGGATTTTTTCTAAGACTTCTTTTGGAGCGTTTGTGCTGTCTGGGCGTTCACAGTCACGACTATTCATCATCCGCATTCCTCGGCGGATGATGATCGATTTAATTATCTCTGTTCGTTCTACCAGCAGCAACGTTGCACAAACTCCGTGCTTGCAATATGAATATTTTTAATAAATACGGACTTTGCGACAAAGGACGCGGCGACATCGCGGCATGGTTCATTCGTCGAGCGGAAGTCGACATTGTTCAATTAAAGACCGCCTTCCTACACTCGTATTTCCGTTCAGTTTCCACTTAGCATTCCCAGTAGGCGTCATTCAATGCTGTACAGTATGAGAGAACTGCCCGATGGCAGTTGCGCGCCGTGGTGCATTGCCCACCAGAAGTGAATCATACCATATATTATAGCCTGAACACGCCTGAATCACACAGAGACAAACGTTCGAAACGTGCGAAATATATTCGTGGAAGGCATTCATCGAATAGCTTTCGATCTTTAACCTCAGGAGTTTCACAAACAGAAAACAAAAATAGAACAAGCCAAGAGCGGGCAATAATGGGCAATGAAGAATAGCGCAAAGATGCGCTTCAAATCTAATTTCTACTCCAAGATCTCGTAGACTTTCATAGGGACTAGAGAACAATTTTTCGGTTAAAACCTTTTACTACTTAACGACGAGAGGCATTTTCCTCGACAACCTCTCAGCATCCTTCTTTCGAAGGACCTTATTTCCATACCAGCGAACTCTGAAAGTCGTCTCCTCTCACGCAACACTCGCCGGTGATTTGCACGCGAGCGGCCATGATCTTACCGTGAGTGTCCCACAAGTCCCACAAGCTATTTCAACTGATCATTTCTCTCTTCTCGCGGAAGCTTCGGGGAGCAAAAGTGAGATTTGAGATGAGGGCTTCCAGGTGATTCCGGCTTTCAATCGCAATTCCAACTTTCCTTCGTGAAACTCGACGCTTAAAATCTACATCGATGTCTTACAATAACAACCGGGCAGAAAACCGACCGACGGATTCCCGTCGTCGTTTGTTACGAGGTGGCGAAAGGTCAAGTATCTCAGCCGGAGATAAAGTTCGCTCTGGCCCTCGTTCGGAAGTTCGGAGTCCTCCGCGCGATTTTTCCCGCGAAAAGCTGCGTTGCCGCAGGCAGCTACATGACACGATTGAGTAGCTGTGAGTTCGCGCTGTCTCAATGTCGTTATGACGATTGACCTCAAAAAGTACGCAATGTCGTTGCTTCTACCGCGCCACCTCGATCTTGCGCTCTGCGCTCAGCGCTGAAAGAGTCGACACGGCGACGCGGAGAGACGCGTTGAAGACCAAGATGGAAATAATGCGAGAAGTAAAAGGGACGATCGCGCGCGCGCGCGCACACGCGAGATGCTGAAACAGGTGTAACCGGCGCTTGCAACTACCTGATGATACATTCGCGGTGGTAGATTCTCGCCAAGATATTCCCGGGGTCACGGGTGCTGCGGGGAAATGTCACGCGTTGCTATAGACTTTGAAAGTTCCTGTAGCCACGGTCGTATTTGTCGATTATCTCTAACATTATCCTCCAATTCGAGAGCTCATCCGAGAGGAGCCTTTCTCGCCTGAGCATACTTGGCTTTGACACGGATTTAACGCGCTTCTCTGTGCGCGCGCGCGTTATCTATTTTCGCATGTCGCCTCGCGCTCCGTGCTTAGAGAGTAAACGAGAGAGAGAGAGAGAGAGAGAGAGAGAGAGAGAGAGAGAAGAATGAAGACTCTCCGAGAGCAAAATGTCAGACTCACCGGTATTTGTACGAATGTGCCGTTATTCAGCTGGGGATACGAGTACAACGGCACAACAGGAACAGAACCATTTTTTAGGAAAATCGGGCCTTGTATAGGTGTGACGTGCGCGTTCCTCGGTATATCCTGATCGTCGTCGTCGTAGTAATCGTCAAAGTCGTCGTCGTAATCCAACACAGCGTGGACTGAGGTTTTGGTACCTGGACCAACGGAGCTCCCGCCGTTAACTCTCGTGTAACTTTGGGCAGAGTGAAAAAAAAAAGTACGAGTAGCACAGAGAGAGAGAGAGAGAGAGAGAGAGAGAGAGAGAGAGAGAGAGAAAGAGAGAGAGAGAGAGAGAGCACATGGTGCGAAGAGATCGGCATGTACGTCATTGGCGAGCTTTACTCAAGATCTTCGTTACAGAGAAAGAGAGGAAAGTTGGAAACTGTGCATATAAAACGCAAGGGAGAAATAGCGAGGAAGAGAGAGAGAGAGAGAGAGAGAGAGAGAGAGAGAGAGAGAGAGAGAGAACGAGAGTGTTCTTTTTCTCTTTTACCCATTAGGTCTCTCTGGATAACCGTCTTGTTCTTCCGCCCGAGACTTGACCGGTTCGGACGAGTGGCCTCGCTGCTGAAACGACGAAGGAGGTGGTCTCATTTGTTGCTGTTGCGGCTGTTGCTGTTGCTGTTGCTGCTGCTGCTGCTGCTGCTGCTGCTGCTGCTGCTGCTGCTGCTGCTGCTGCTGCTGCTGCTGTCTCGGTTGTGTTCTTCTGAAGTCTTGATTGTAAATGGCGTAACGAGTGTCCTGCGTCGACGAGAAGGACGAGTGCTCCGCGTAGATCTCGCGACTCCTCGGTTGAGCAGACTGACGTCGTTGCTGATGCGGACGATACTTGATCGGGGACACGTAAGGCTCGTTAGGAAAAGTCTCTTGTTCATTGAAAGTCGGCACTGCTCCCGACGGCAACAAAGCGTTCAAGCGAAGGTTGTTGGCCGTCGTGTGTCCTGCGCCGGATCCTGTGTAGAGGAACGGCGCCATCGTGGCCGACTGGTAGGGCAGAGTAAAATTCGCCAACGACATTTCGGACAGCTGTCGTGCTTGCTAATCGAGATCGTCGAGATCTGCTCGGTCTTCGTGCGAATGACGGGTGAAAGACCGTGTCAATTCGGACAATGGCTAACTGGAGACGGCGTACGACAGATTCGTGTTCCCGTCGAAGAAATCATGATTGAATCATTGTCGACTTTCGAGCTGCAAGGACATGTCACGACGAGACCACGGCTTGCCCGAGCAAAGGCACTCCCTTCGCCGCTATCATGTCGAGCACGGCGCCGCTTCCGGGTTACGCCTAATTATTCGGAATGCCTCGGAATGACTTTGCAAGCGCGACCGCGTAAGCTCGCTGTTTCCTCAGTGTTCAGACTGTCGGCGGTCACGCGGTAGATGGAAGAACCGCGCGAACGAATCGAGATCACCGCCGTTGTCCAGCAGCCGCCTTTGTTTCGTGGGACTCAGCTGAAACAGAAGGCAGATCCGCAGAGATCGTTAATGACTGGGCCGAGAGTCTCGGTGGTGTCAAGTTCAACTTGATAGTTCGATCTTCAGTACTTGATACTTTCGGTTACTGTTTTATCAGGTAGCCGGGTGGTGGTGTGCCGCTAATTTCACCTGGCACCTGCTTTCGCTGATTTTTCTAACGATAACAAGCAGCAAATGAATGACTATCTGCTGTCTGATCGGTTGCCCGGGTAATACCCGGGTAACGGATGCTTGGCCATCCGGATCCGGATTCGGGTATTACCCAGGCAGGTATTACTCGAGTCTGCGGTTAATTTCAGGTATCACCTGATTAGCGATTTTCCCAACGATAATGGACTGCGAATGAATGCGTTGCAATGCGTCGTGACTCTTTTTTCTCGGGTATTCCCCGCGAGTGTGTGCGTATGTGAGATTGGTCAGCTCGTTATCCCGAGTTCCCTAACAACGACAAACAGTAGCACCGGAACGAAAACGTAGCAAACTTGCGACTGGTTATCGTCCGCTTGCCCGGGTAATCTTCGCGCGAGTGTGGCTCTAGCCGAGCCAATACCCGGGCAATACCCGGATGACACCGACAGCGCTAATCAAGATCGTGTATTCGCGTGCACTATCTGGCCGTCCTTTTATTCGTCGAGTCATCCGTCCATCGTAGAAAGTGCTCCGCGCGGCCCGGATCAAGTAACGAGAGACACATGCGCGTTGATACGTAAACGTAAACGATGAAAAGCGTGAAAGGCGAGCGCGTAAATCGAAATTGCTCGTCGACGGAGAGGCAGAGAGGACCGTTTACGCGCGCGCGCGCGCGCGCGATAAGCCAATTAACGAAGCGTTTCCGCTTTTTTCAGCCGCGATCGCAACTGAAACAAGAAATCGCCGTGCGGACCTCGGCGGACAATACGCATCGCGCGTTGGCGATTCGCGAGCGAGCGAGCGGTCACGCATGCGCGCTCGCGCTCGCGCTCGCGCGCGCGCGCGAATGAAGCGAGGATCGAATCGCGCCAAGGCAGCCAAATTTCTTTGGAAAGTCGAACGAGTTTGGCCCGTCACTTTCGCCCACTGGATTACTGTTTCCAAGTTGAATATGCAAAACGTGTTTTCACTTAAAGGTAAAAGGAGGACCGTCTCTATATCCTATCCGCCGCGCCACCTCGTCGGGACACACTCTCTATTTTTACGAATGTGTAGCCGGGATTACGTAAAAAGAAAATCACTCCTGCGACAATTTCGACATCCTGCAGGCGAGGCAGCAGGAGGAGGAGCAATCTGCGCGACAGCAGGACCAATTAGCACAGCGGCGCTAATTGCGACCGGGCCGTATAATCGCGCGACGATCGCGTTTAATCGATCGCGAGACGACGTCACGGCTCCGCCGCTCGTGAACTACGTGTGCACGAGAGCCAGGTAGATCGTCGGAAGCTCTCTCTCTCTCTCTCTCTCACTCACTCTCACTCTCTCTCTCTCTCACTCTCTCTCTCTCTCTCTCTCTCTCTCTCTCTCTCTCTCTCACGTTTGACACGACCGGGACGACAGGGACGAGATTGGCCCGGCGAGCAGGCAAAATTCGATTTCAAACGAATCCGCGATCCGGCGCACGAGCGGCGCGAGTGAAGCATATGCGATTCGCAGGCACCGACGCGACGACACGACGTGAGATCTTACCTGTGATGTCAACCGGCGACATGCGTATCGGACACCTTCACCGCCAGTAACTCGAGAACTCGAGCACACCGGGACGAGCGATATAGCGCGGAATATACGAAAAAGTTAGGCCAAGCCGTCGGCAGCGCGCGCGTGCGCGCGCGCGCGCGCTTTCACTTTCACTCGGTGATCCGGAGAATCGGATGTGCGCGCGATTTGGAATGTCGCTAATTGGAATGACAGAAGGGAAGAGTCGCGAGCGCCGAGCGCGAGAGGAGAAGGCACAAAAGAAGCGTGCATACGAGAAGAATCGCCGCGGTTGCAGCCGCGGTGCGCGCGAGGTGCCGCCGCGCACGTACCGTCGTTGGCGGACGACGACTAAAAGGAGAGAAGGCTTTTAACCAGCTGTACGGAACGGGAATAAAGAGAAGTGTCTCTGGATCGTGAATAGCGCGGCCCGCTGCCTCTCTTACTTTTACGCTACGTGTACCCCTTCCCAGCTGTCCTCCCGGTACTCCCTACCTTCAATCTCGATCGTACCTTCGCGATTCTTCATCGCGAGGGACGCGTTCGCAAACGCGGCTCTATATTTTCCATCTCTCGCGGGCTTCACCTTCCACCTGCGACCTTCCACGAGGCGAAGTCGAATTTTCGAGTGGAATGGAGTCGAGCTGTGCGATGGGTCGAGTCGAGGAGGAGGACCGGAGCTTATTAGGAAATTGACCGAGTCGAGCTCTCGTCATAGTCGTCGAGGAGCGAATAGAGATGAAGTTGACCGACGTCGGACGTTTGTGTACTTCGCGGATTCGTAATTTCCGTCGTTGATGTCATATCACGGCCGCGCCGTGTGTTAATCTTCGAGAGAATAGAAGAGTACGCGGAAAGAAAGCGAACACGTAGGTCGCATGCTTCTGTGAGCGAAGATCCCGAGACACATGCATAGCTGTGTGTGTGTGTGTTCGCTCCACGTGAACTGAAATGAAAGGTGAAGGAGCGTGTCAGAGGGCTCCGAGAAGGGAACGAGAGGAAAACGAGGAGAACCAGGAGAACGTCTTAGAGAGAGGTGTACGATTATGACTACGGAGGAGGCGGAAAAAGAAACGATAACGTCGGCAGTGCAAACACGTACAGCACGTTCGATCGTGCGAGACACCTCGCTCCTGGCAGGTCCATATGTACAAAAAGAAAAATAGAACACGTTCGACCATAAAATTAATAATAATTTATTTAAGGACGCAATTCATCGAAAGTAGTTATCTAGTAATCAACCAACAATGTAAATGTAATAATCCGTAAATTATCAGTACAAATTGATCGGTGGACAAGTAAAATTTGCTCGTCCGATGTTTCTCGATGAACAAATGAGAGGAAAGACTCGTCACTTTTTTTTCCGGAAACTGCGACGCGAGAAAAGAGACACGCTTGCGTGCAACATCAAGATCGTAAAATGCGAATATAAATGTAAGGCGAGAGTTACCCGAGAGTCTTCCGGGGGCAAATTCACGATTCAACGTTTCTCGGTAAGGTGAGACTGCATGCGTCACTCACCGCGATCGGTGTGGACGAGTGCGAGAGATATAAATGGAAAAAGACGCAACACTGCACGACCGGATCGCCTCTATTTGAAATTACGCGACAAATGGTTCTCCGTCGATTTGTCTCTAGCGCGCGTGCGATCATGTAACAATAGTTGATTCGTATCCTCGCACCACTCTCGCTCTCTGAACACGCTAATAATTGCCTCACGGTTGTGTGATACTCGACAAATGGTTTCCACGCTATCTCTATGCACTTCTGCCGTGCACACACAATGCAACTCGATCGATCCCGTAAAAAGCGCCAGAAAATAGCCCGCGCGAACACACTCGCGTGTGATGGAGCAACGCAAATGTGTGTGAAAAGCAAATGCAGGCTCGTAAATCGATGTTAACGACACGTATATGTTAGCAAAGTTGAGAAAGAAAGGACTGCGAGCGGGAGAGGAGGGGGGATCGAATACCTAGCGTGCATAAGCCCGTGATAGGTTTACCCTCGTTAGAGTTCATTGTTACGCAATCAACAATGAACCACGTGCGAGCCACGCTGGCAGGCGACACCTTTCCTTACCCTTGAGAGAAGGAAGCCTCTCCGTTGGTGAACGACTATCGGCGTACAGCTCTTTTCTTCTGTGCACGTAACGAGGTCGATATTGATCCTGAATTCATACATCTGTATATCACATCCGTATCCTGATGCCGATATTTATATCCATCCGGATTTCAACATCGTTGCGTGCGAACACACCGGACACACCGGAATCCAAAGTATTATTGTGTATATAAATTGTGTCTCTGTATACAGTGTGTACGTAATCATGCCTACATAATTATTACGTGTCCATAGAGAGATGAAAGATGCTGTTGTGAAAATACAAAAGAGAACGCTGACTTTTGAAAGGGGGACCGTGATGCAATTAGGTGTAAGACTAGTTACTCTTTCTTTCATTCAACGCGGTGTCTTTTCCAGGTCGCCCTCCCGGGTCAACAGCAACATTTTCCTCCCAGATAATTGATTATCGTGTATAATAATTTTGTATCGCCGCTTTATTCAAGTTTATCTTATTAATTAGTTTCGCACATGTGAAATCCATTATTTCACCGAGAAATTGCGACAGTCCCGAACGATTCCGAACGAGAGAGGATAGAACTAGAATAAAGACTCATGTCCTTCTTATTAAAAGTCCGTGTGCTCGAATGGGACAATAAATAACGACGATAAACTTCATGCTACACGTATGTCGCGGCTTTCACCGCAAGTTGTTGTACTTGTCCCACCTATATTCCCCGTATAATCGAGTAAGCGGGTACATCGTATAATAAACACAGCCGGAACCAGAACCGCGTGAAACGCATTGGACGGAAAGAAAAAAAGAAAAAAAAAAAAAGAAAAATAGCTCGGGCACGTGACGTACGCCACACGGCCCAGGTTTCGCAATTCGCGCGAGGGGCACTCTCGCGCGCGCGCGACAATTCTATGATTCACGCGTGATTATGCACGCGTAACGGTCGCGGTCGATTCGCTGTTATCGCGCGCACATAGACTGCTTGTTCTGCCGTCATCAGCCAATACGACGAATCGCATTGGTCAACATGTCGCAAGTGTATAGTCGTCGTGTGTGAGCCGTGGTTGCCGCTCGAACAGGCCGTTATCGACTATCTCTGAACGATTGTTTCGATGAAAAGGGACACGATCGTCGAGCCGTTTTATTTCCGCCAGGGATTTTAAACCGTGTTAAGAAATAAAATGGAATTCGAAGGCGACAGGTCGCGTAAGGTGCCAACGCCCCGCCCACATATTTGAAATGTCGTTCCAGCTATCGATCATAATACGCGTCAATGACACTTGCGCAATAACGTACACGTACCGTGTTCCCTCTTACGTTCAATTTTAGACTGTTCCAGTTTTACGCTTTGTCTCTTTCTCCCTCTCTCTCTCTCTCTCTCTCTCTCTCTCTCTCTCTCTCTCTCTCTCTCTCCTTTTGTTCGTCGTTTTCCATTCGTATTGATGGGTCTGAAAATCCGCGCTCATGAGCTCATGCTCCTTTCATCTCACGGATTCGTTCGCCGAGATTTAAGATTGACCTTACAGCGCTTGTAATATAATGCAGTGAATATCTATATTTTTCTCTTTGGAAGGAGTGTATCCTATTGTTCCAGTCATGCCTCTCAACGGCGCCACTTTCTGTTGTTAATTTTTTCATAGTGGATTTGCTTGAAGATTATGTCTCGTGTGAGATATATACGTATACTCTTGCTTCATATCTTTGATATATTTTTATTATGAAAATGAAGAGCATATAAATATGCGTGTCCTGTATTGTGGTACTCTTATTCACAAGAACACGAGTTGTTCGCACAGCCTTCAGTAGCCGTGATCGTCTAGTGGTTAGGACCCTACGTTGTGGCCGTAGTAACCCAGGTTCGAATCCTGGTCACGGCAATGTGTCGAAGCATTGTCACGGTGAAGGTATTTTTTTTTCTTTTTATACTTTTTGCGTGTCAGCTGCTAATTATAAAATGCATGCCATCAAGACTTTTTTCTTATTCCTTTTAATTATTTCATATGACTTATAAACTAAGGTGTACATATATATACACACACACAAGATATCTCCTATAACTGTAGTCGAAAAAGTGACGATTCTACATGTAAAAATAAAAATCGATAATAGAATAAAATTGTTTCACGTAGAAATTTATTATTTATTATTAGAAAAATTATTATTATTATTATTAATTATTATTAGAAAAATGGCTGAATATTCGATAACTACACGTGCGCTTGTTTACGCTTTGATTGTATTTTTATCGTATATTTGCTTTATATTTTGTATTATTTTACTATATTTAGTAAATAGATAATTAGACGGGATGTGAAAATATTGCTATAATGCTTCTTAAGGATTTTATTTTTCTATTAAACGAAATATTAGATGAGATATTAATTAGAGCCGGATGCGTAACATTTACTTCCAATGTAAAATTGGATGTTTTAGTTCCCTCGTAACTTTATAAATATCGTCTTTTATTTTTTATATCTATTTTTATTTGTTTTATTTCGTTGAATTATAAATTGTTGGGATAGGGAGATTTTGACGTGCGGACATTCCTTGAAATTGCAATCAGATATTACTAAATCGCGTCATTTGTTTCGTAAATAATATAATTGTGCAATCGGGCATATCCAATAATCAAAACGCGAAATTAACAAGGCCAAAAGCGCAGCTTGAGAAACATCCAGTGAGTTGCGCAGTATAAATAATTATAAATTAAGGAGCGCTTGTCGTTGTACAACAGTGCAGCATCGAATCGTGTGCAACTTGTATCTGATCTGACATTTTTCGAACTTTCATCATTTATATCGACGTTATGGCCATCTGGCATCAATTTTTATCACCAATATGTATCCTGTATTGTGCTGGTTTGTACGAAAAAGATTCCTTGAATGTCATTTAATTAGGCAATTTATCTAATTTGTGTATTTATATGTGTAATAATTTAATAAGCGTTCGTAACATATTAATACTTTGCCAACAACAAGAAATTTTGATATTGTTCGTACCGAAGTGTGTCAGTGCTAATTTTTTAGAAGGCGCAATATACAGATTATGTTAACATATTGTATCATATTTACACAATTGAATAATTTACTTCAATAAACTGTTCTATTACGATCAATTCTACAATACTCGATATGTAACGCATGTGTAAAGTGTTCAATTAGAATCAATAAGATTAAAATCAGTAAGTGTGTGAATCTTGACGAGTTTGCATTTTAAGAGGCACATGCACATTTTGAAAGTTATCTAAAACAATATAGATATAATTATCAATCTTGCATCTGTTTATTTGTAACATAAAAGTAATCAAGTAAAATTTGCGCTGCTAAGATAATTAATTTAATAATTAATCATGCATATCCCTACAGCGGTAATTCACGGCATATTATTGGATATAAATGATGATGAAATCTGTAACCTGCTATGCAAACAATGTAACGGTACTTCTGCAGTAATTGCGAATAGTCAATGTGAATGTGATTTTAATGACAGTGATAACGAAGGTATATCCTTATCAGTTCATTGATATTTTGTACTCGTACAAAATAAGCTTCTAAAATAATTTTCTGAAAAAAGGTGATACCGACAACCTATTTTATTTAGTCGCTCAATTATATTTGATTTTAGGTGTAAAATGTATACAGCGCTTACAGAAAGATGTTCAAAACTTCGATTTAAATGCACTCTCCAATGATCTCACAGATGAAAAACGAAACATGCGCTCTTTGAAATCCAAACATCTTCTTGAAACAAGTAAGAAGTAAAAGTAATTATACATATAAATAATGTTTTAATTCTCTGTTAGCTGTTGTGTGTACAAAGTAACTCATTTCAAGTATCTCAAAAGAAATATATAATTTTAAAAAAGCGTTTCGAACAAAAGTTGTAAACTATTGACATAAAACAATAATATCTTTAATAGTAAAATATTTCTTTAAGATTATTTCAGATATTCTTTTCAGCATAAGACGTTACATACATCTCATAAAGTACTCATTTTTCGATAATTTTATTTTAATATTTTAATAGGAAAAATAATTTGAAGAATCAAATTATACTAAAAATTATATTTCATTTTAAAAATCAAATTTAATCTTGAAATTATCTTGAAAAATATTTATAAAATATGTATAATTCTTAATTTGTGTCAGGTATTCGAATACTTTTAAAATAGGACGCCCTGTATATATACTTGCTCCACATTCCAATTATCTCAGTATCTAGTTGACCTAGTCGTGAAATGTTTGCTCATATTCAAGAGCATATTTAGACTCGATAAAATATGACTTGTATATCATACAGGTATACTAATACAGGATTCATTTCATCAAATAGAAGCATTAATCCTCTAAAGTTAACTTCATGTATTCAAACTTTTCTTAAGCCACTTTTCCTATAATTATCCGATTTTTGTGTGTGTAAAATGATTCATCTCTTGAACCAATAAAATCATCGATAATTCGATGAACTTTTGCAAACTCGTATTTAAATCGGAAGAGCGTCCAAATGATGTCAGTGTCTGACGTATTAGAATAAAGACTATCGAATTGTCTTATAGGAGATGCCGAAAGGGTGGCACAATATTTTATCAATGGTGGGGCATCGACTGGTCATTCTCATTTTGTCGGGGTAGCTTTGTCTAATGCAGCTCGCGATAATAATAATTCTACGACAAATTCACTTTTGGAGACGGCTCGTGAAAGTAATATTGAAAACGAATTCCATCTTCCATCACGTATCAGTCCCATTTCCGGAAGTACATACAAGTCATACGATTTTCCGTTGTTTGTAGGACCAGAAGCGACACCGACGATACCGGATCCAAATATACCCGGCACAAAAGCAGAAGCCTCAATGCTAGAAATGGAACCAGTTCACTATCCCGTGAATAGATTGTATGCATCAAGTCCAGTATTGTATTCGATGGCCCTTCCACACAGAAGACATAGATACAAATTGCCAAACCATGCTTTATCACGAATGGTTGTTGGATCACCGCATATTGTGCGCAATTTAATCGCACATCGTTACTTTCACCACCCTATATATCGTGGTCTCCTCAACAAGAACTTTTATGCAAGTAGTACTTAACAGAATAATTTTGGACGATATATCTACCGAGATTTCTTACGATAATCGCAAGTGTGAATCGTATTATGTATCATATCTGTCTAATTACATTTGATTAACAGTACATTATATATATATATATTATTAAAAATGAACTTAATCTAATTAAAAAATAAAAACGATATTTTTGAAATTAAACTCAATTAAATCTTTCAAATTAAGTAAATCTTTTAAATCAGGACGTTAATTAATTAATTTAATGAAGAAATGTTTTTCACCAGCTATTGGACGATATGTTTCTTGGTCAGGTGCATAATTTCAATCAAACTTCTGATAACTCACTTACAACTGGAAATAATGCAGTAAGTCTCGTAATAACATGTAAAAGCGCAATCGCCCACTTAAATTACAAACAAACGAATACACAATTCGTCCCATAAACTGCAACCTTGATAGACATCAATAACAATTTGCGAATTTATAAGTTACGACATTCAATATGTCGATACAATGAATTGTGACATTATATGTTCTGATATAACTGTTGAGTAACTGTAACAAATCATGATTAAGACATTGGCAGACTACAATTGCGCTTAATTCACCGAGTGTGTTGAGCTACAAAAATTGAAGTTTTTTTTTTTCTTTCAGAATAAACCTATTGTTGCAAATACCCCTGATGCAGGAGCAGATGTGTTAAATCAATCGACGCAATATCCCGTTTCTTCGTATCAAAACACTCCTCATCAAAGTCCTTTGCTCAATGTGCTCTATTCTCCATTGGACGAGTTTATTGGCCGAGCTGTTCAGCATCATGCGCAACGTATAAATTCGGCGTTGTCTTCTGTGCAGAATCCAAACTCTTATCCCACGAACGACGAAAATACTAAACGACAAAACGAAGCGTTAACTGCTGTTACTCATCAAAATACTGACACATCTTGCAATGACAAGATAGCAGAGAAGACTGAAGAAAAATAATCACACTAGCGTGCTTCAAAAAAAAAAAAAAAGAAGGAAAGGAAAAGACAAAGAAAACGTGGAAAATGCAACGACTGCAGAATATATATAGACGTAGTATATACTGTCATTCAAGGCAGTGAGGAGTCCTAATTTTCGCTAAGAAAAAAGTAACGTGTTACTTTGAATTATTCAACTCGTCTTACCATCATTCGGCTCATACATATTAACTTTGTGCGCATACATCTTGTTTCTTATGTACATCATCTTTTTATGTAAGTGTAAAATAGATATAGCTTTTGTTTATGTGTGGATACAAAAAAAGAAACTGTCATACATGATGCTGGTCTCTGAGAGATTAGTACGTCATACATCTGTGACGCTGATGGTATGTCAAATGAATATGTCAAATTCCTTGATATTGTTTTCAAAAAGATTCTAGACTAAAACGATGAATCGTAATGTAACAATCATGTAATATATCATTTAGCAACTTGTTAATCGTGTATTATTAAAAGCTGTTAAGCAGGAATTATATAATTTGATCAATTATTCTACCTCTTCAAACTATTCAATCTTCAAATGTGATAGGATACGTAAACATAACATTTCCAATTCATCACACCTATCACTAACTATAACAGTTTGAACCTTAATTTAAGTTTGACTGTGAATAGGTTTAAGATACAGAATGATTCAGGACCTCTATGACAAATTCTGAGGAATGATAGGACTTGCAGAAGAATGTCAGATTGCAGTCTCATCATAGCATCTAAACAACGCGTCAGAGAACATGAGTTGCTTGACAAAAAATGATCCCTTCTGCGAGAACTACGTTCTCAGAGTTTGTTTCAGAGGTTCTGAATCACTCTATATATATATATATATAGCAAATATTAGTAGTTAATCTATCTAAAATGTTACATGAAGAGTGTAGCATCCAGAAATGTAAGAATATAATATATATACATGTATACACATATACCACACATAAAAGTTATTTATAATAAAATACATGTAAGCAAAAAATTCACTATACACATGGTTAATGACTGTTTTTTTCTTCTTTATCTTCTTCCCTTGCCTTTTCCCTTCTTAGATGTTGATGTGGATGATTGTGATGCTTGCTCATTGGAGCTCTGTTTACCCTGCCGGGTCTTTAGTTTTGGGATTGTGGTTCCGACATATTCCAACAGAGAATCTCTAGTAGGATATTCAGGTCGTATCGGTGTGCCATCATCATTTTTTAACTGTACCCGGATACGACCACGGTAGATAGGTTCCTTACTACGTTCCTTTGGATGTTGTTTATTTTCAACACCTACATTAAATCCTACTGCTACCAATACATCCCGTATCTCTTGGTGCGTTGGATTTTCTACGCATTTATTCTTAGTTAGCTTCCGACCATCAGCCAAGCTTCTTTTGCTGTTTAGATATATTGGATAGATACATATCCATCTGCAAGAAATTATACATCCTATTAACAATGATTAAAACTTAATAAGAAAAAAAAAAATTAAAACTTGCACAGCCTTAAATTATACAAGAGATTCTTTTTTTTACTGTCAAATAAGTTTCAATATTTAAATGAAAGATAAGATAATCATATTTTTTATTTTCGAGCTAGTCTTTATAAAAAGGAATTTATATTGTATAATTTAAATAGAGATTTAATCTCGATATTAAACCTGTCATTCAAATAAATATAGGTTAAGTAGCGTATGGGTTGCAACATGGGTATTTTAACAATACTCCAGAAGACAGAAATATTATATTACACACAGTTGCGAATTAAAGAGTATAATTATATTCCCAGGTATATTTGATAATACAATAAACTTGCCTCTCACGCTCACTATGCCTCTTCGAAGGATTCCACGCCAACGACATGTCGTATGTTACTAATCAACTCTAGCAATACAGTGTTCAATTAGGCACAATACGTCCACAACTTTCCAAAATAGGAAATTGTACAAGGAGACGATTATTTAAGAAATATCCTATATATCCATGTATCTATTCTACTCAATAAGTATTCCTGAAGGGCAAAAATATTAAATAACGAAGCAAAAGTAATAAACCTTCGGGCTCGTCCGGGATTTGAACCCGGGACCTCTCGCACCCGAAGCGAGAATCATACCCCTAGACCAACGAGCCATATGATATAAGATTCCAAATACACTGTTGAGAAGTACATAGTGTATATATTGCACTAAAATATATACTTGTACAGAATATTCACATAAGGTCTATTCGTTTTATTGAAATAAGCGGTATTTATAATCAGATATTATAATTATTTTTAAAACTAAAATGACAAGTGACCATTTTCGAAAGTTTAAAAGAAACAAGTATATAGCGCTGTGACTTGATGTAAAAAAGAGGGAAAAAGACTAGTACAAATTAATACAGCTGCATAATTCAGAAATGCATAGAACAGACATTTAATATTTAAGATTAGTTTAAGTTCACCTTTCAATGATGTACGTGTTGTTTTATTGGCTACGAAGCATCTGAAGGTAAACTGAAAACAACTTTAGGGGTCTACAAGAGAATCTACGCACACCTTCCGTGAAGACCCGCGAAATAAGCAAAGGCATTTCCCATTTTTTGACAAAAATAAAAAGAGAGTTATCTTATAATTATTATTTTCATAATCAGGAGAATCGTCCGCAGAAGCGTACAACTTTCTTTCAAAAAAGACTTGAAATAAAAGACTACTTGATTTACTAGAGTGAGAGTTGCACTTGGAGTGCAGCATAAGACCATATTATTATTTATTATAAATTTTGAAGGTCTTGATTGCAAAATGCAATTGTGCACTAACCTTGGAAATTATGCAAGGAAGGCATCAAAAAAAAATATAATGTCTGCGAGGAAAAAGCCTATAGATTTTCTGTAGAGAAAGTGAAAGCTTCGATTGACTGTCGGATCAAGAATTTCTAGGGTGCTTGAGCGAAATATTAGGGACTTTAGAGAAAAATATTGGTCTATTTTTTGTAGCCGCACCAGTTCAGCAGTGCAGCTACAAAGAACAGACCACATGAATCGACCCCGAAAGTAAAATCCATGCTACTCGAATATGCCATTAAAGCCAGCGGCATACGGTGCTTGTTTTCATGCTGGATTGCTTGCTAGATGAAAATACTGGGTTCTGATTGGTGCATTTCCGAAGATTGATGGAAATACACCAATCAGAACGCAGTATTTTCATCCAGCAAGCAATCCAGCACAAAAACAAGCACCGTGTGCCGCTGGCTTAATATTGAATTTATCTCACAAGCTTGTCAGACTTTTTGATTGGCTGTCAGATAGAGAATTTCTGGGCTGCTTAATTTTTCCTCTAAGCACCTTAGGCCCAGTTCCACAATTTGCTTTAAACTCCGTTTAAAGCAAGTTGTGGAACTGGGCCTTAAAGGTCGTCTGTCTAACAGCCAATCGGAACGTCCTACAATCTTGTCGTACAACGCGTGTAATATTAGCCCTATAGTGTATTTAAATGGACCTGGATTAATCAATTCGCGGTCGATTCCTAGGTCGAACATGCACAGATAAGCTTTATGATTGGCTAATAGAGCCTTGTGCCGTCATTAATCAACCGCACGACGATTAACCCACTCAAATACGTTATTAGAGTGGCTGCGTTCCGAAAGAGCGGTAATTGTGTATGGTCGTGGATATAATAATGTGTGCCCGTTTTTTTGCAACTTTCGGAACGCATCCCGACTCGAGAAGAATGAGAGTCACTGCTCCGCCTGCGCAGCACGCCTGCGCAGTGACTCACAACGAAAGGTGAGAAATGAAATATACACGGTGGGTAAGTCTTATACTCCGGGAGACATCCGAAAAAGGTAGAGATAAACATGTTTATGTTTTTAAAACAATATGAATTTAATTAAGAGAATTAAGTTGCATTATGCTAGTTACCGTTATACATTTATATGTAATTTATTATTTATGCCTGAAAAATAAGAAATTATGTTAACAAATAGCGTGAAAAATATCATTAAAACGCAAGATGATAGTAAACGTTATTTTATTTGGTTTAGTATCCGTATTTGCATCATAAATTTCATCCTCTCTATCTCCTTCTTCCTCTTCCATGTCCATATCTGTATGTCCCAAAAATTCAAAATTCGCTATAACAGCTGCTTTTGTATCTAATATCATTGCTTCTGCTATAGAAGATGGCTGTTGCTGAAACAATAAATCACATATAAATGTATAATAGAATCGTAACTATCGTAATGCAGCTTAATTCTCTTAATTAAGTTCGTATTGTTTTAAAAACATAAACATGTTTATTTATCTCTACCTTTTTCGGATGTCCCCCGGAGTATAAGGATGCGTTCCGTTTCACGTATATGTACGTACGCGCATTTATCTATAATTTATATCAGGTATACTATAAAAAATGCGCGCATATGCGTGAAACGGAACGCACCCTAAGACTCAAGGCTCGTCTACAATAGCTATAAGAGTAAAGGCCATTGCACGTAAAAAAATTTTAGTCGTAACCGTAAGACCGTAAGCAAATTGATCAATCACAATCCAGCATCTCGAAATATACGAATTGTGATTGATCAATTTGCTTACGGACTTACGGTTACGACTAAAACTTTTGTACGTGCAATGGCCTTAAAGGCCATCACACGTAGAAAAATTTTAACCGTAACCGTAAGGTTGTAAGAAAACTGACCAATCACAGTCGATTATTATAATGTCACAAGAGAAAGGATCGACTGTGATTGGTCAGTTTTCTTACAACCTTACGGTTACGGTTAAAATTTTTTTACGTGTGATGGCCTTTAGGCTGTAACGTAAGCTGTCAGCGAATGAAAATATTTCATTTTGTGTCTTGCAACCTTATAGCCTTACTCTTACAGCTAATGTAGACGAGCCTTTACATCGGATGATTCTTGTCTGTTCTGTGTTCCCTCATTTCCATTTAATGCTATTCATTTCATCTGACAATGAGTCTGTATTATTATAACATGTCCTACCGCGTATATTTCATTTCTTGCCTTTCGTTGTAAGTCACTGCGCAGGCGTGCTCCGCAGGCGGAGCAGTGACTCTCATTCTTCTCGAGTCAGGATGAGTTCCAAAAGTTGCAAAAAAGCGGGCACACATTATTATGTCCGTGACCGTATGTGTATGTATTAAACCAACGGCACACGGTGCTTGTTTCGTGCTGGATTGCATACTGCAAGAAAATACTGTCTTTTTGATTGGTACATTTCCGAAGATGGATGGAAATGCACCAATCAGAATGCAGTATTTTCATCCAGCAAGCAATCCAACACGAAAACAAGCACCATGTGCTGTACTATGTAATTTTCTAACCTCTAATGTCTGCAAAAGGCTTTATTTTTTAGTTTCGATATCTGGCAATAATATTCAGTTGATAAACGTTTGGATTTGTAACAATAACATCGTGTTTATCTGATTCGAAAATGTCGAAATTCAAACCAAAAAAGCATCATTTCCGGGAAGTTCTCATTTTCTGTTTTCATTTGAAGAAAACAGCCGCTGAAGCTCATCGAATGCTCGTAGAAGTTTATGGTGAAAGTGCTCCTACCGGTAAAGCATGCAGAGAATGGTTTCGACGTTTCAAAAGTGATGATTTCAGTGTCGATGACAAACCTCGTCCAAGTCAGCCGAAGAAGTTCGAGGACGAGGAATTGCAAGCGCTAATCGATGAAGATCCGTGTCAATCGCAACATGAGTTCGCGCAATTGTTGAATGTTGATCGATCAACAATTTCTATGCGTTTGACAGCCATGGGAAAGATTTACAAAAAAGGAAGATGGGTGCCATACGAACTGAAAGAAAGAGACATCAAGAGGCGAAAAGCCACATCGATACCAAAGCGGAAATTCACGGCAAGAAAGTCATGCTCTGTATATGGTAGGACCAGAAGGGTGTAGTGTATCATGGACTATTAAAACAGAGCCAAACCATCACTGTCGAACTTTATACCAACAACAATTGATTCGTTTAAACAACGCATTGAAGAATAAGCGGCCGGAATATGAATATGATAGAGACACGACAAAGTGATCTTCCAGCACGATAACGTTCGGCCACATGTTGGAAAGATTATGAAGGCCACCTTGGAAGCACTTGGCTGGGACGTTTTACCTGACCCACCATATTCACCAGACATTGCTCCATCCGATTATCACTTGTTCTGATCGATGGCATACGAGCTTTCGGACCAGCACTTCAACAATTACGAAGAAATAGAGAAATGGTTCAATGAATGGATCGCTTCGGAGGACGAATTGTTTTTCCGTCACGGAATGCAACAACTGCCAGACAGATGACAGAAGAAATAATAGCAAGCGATGGCACTTTGATTAGTGTATTTTTTCATGTTTTTTCATACTAAAGTCTTTTTTTGGAAGAAAAAACGGACCGAATTAATTCACACACCTAATATATGAAATCTGTATAGATAATTATGATAGGTAAATATGAATTTGATAACAAAACCAAGTTCCTTATCATTTTCACATTGACTAAAATATGCACAATCCTCCTTCGGTATCCTCCTCTGGTTCGAAGTAAAGAAAAAAATGACTGTCCATGTTTATAAAATAGATTCATGTAAGAATATCCATTATTTTATCGATTGCTTATGCATGAAATCTGTATAGATAATTATGACACGTATATGTGAATCTGTATAGATAATTGTGACACATAAATGTAAATTTGATAACAAAGCCAATTATTCATTTTCACATTGACTAAAATACGCACAATGGTATCCTCCGTCGTTATATTTGAAGTAAAGAAAAAAATGACTTTGTCCATGTTTATAAAATAGATTCATGTAAGAAGATTAAATATTTCGTTACTTGTGCATATATTGAATAGTTTAATATGGCGTGATAAAAAAATTGATTGCTTTTGCAAGAAAATGTAGCTGATGATATCATCCAGATGGTACAGAATAGTTAATTCGAGAATAATTCAAGATTATTCTGATTGTAGTCACTGTCAGAACGATCTGAAAATTTTAAACATATTCTGGATAATTTCTGGATGCTTTTTGCAGCTTAGGTATTTATTTGATCTCATGCGAAAATAAAAAATATTTCAATGTTCAGAATGGCTGTAACGGAAAGATTATATGTATAAAAATAATATGTGAAAATTATTATTATTATAATTAGTAATATATAAAATTTACCTGAATAAAACGATATGATGATTGTCTTCTCTACAACATTCGTCTGTATATTCTGCTCATTTCCTTCTCTGCCGTTCACACATGCCATTCCATTTTTTATCTTTAATTGAAATGTATACTTCCATTTATTCTATCGTAATTTACTGATAGCGCATGGCGTATAATTTTAATTAATTGAGTAATTCATCGTTCTTATTCTAATTCGGTCGGTAGTCTTTTCTTAAGTTTCAGTTTGCCTAATCGCTTTGTGTTCGAGCAAAATCTGACTTAATGGTAAATCGAGCAGCCTTCTATTTACAAATAATCAAACAAATATTTAGCATACCTTATCATGTAAACGTAGACTACCGCTATAAGTAAACGGATTTTAGGTTATCGTATGTAAAGGTTATGTGTGTGTGTGTATGTGTGTGCGAGCGAATGATTGTAATTGGATATAAAATTCACTAATCGACAAGTACAATCTCCTAAATTTTCGATTTGTCGCTAGCACACATTGCGTAAAGTTGCCATGTATAACAACCATTTTGTCGTTTGACATAAGAGAATTTTGATTGATTTTGGTCTCTCATCGATATATTCCTTGAAAATGTCCAGCGCAACCACAGATGCGTGCGAATCAGGTAAAAGAGAAATAGTATATTCAAAAATTCACGCAACAAGCGTGGGATAATCTTTTTGCATTGTTTTGCTTAGCTTTGGTTACGACAACAAAGTCGGCGAGCTTCGAAAATTCCAAAGACACGGTAAAACTCAGCGAAGAGTTTCTTCAAATTTTCGAATTGTCGTACCTATGTTCGATAAACCCAAGTAAGCTGAACAAAAATCAAATCAAAATAATGGAAATGAAGGCAAGCAGATTATTTCATAAGGTAACCAATTCGCAGGACACAGTATTCAATAATATTATAGCTCTTGCATATACTTATCAGAATATAAGTCGTACATACATTAAGGCAAATGATAAAGGAAAATTATATGCTGCGAAAGATCTTCTTCTCCATTGTTTCAATTTGATAAAAGATAAGGAGCTGGATCCCAAATCTATTTTGTTAACTCTGAAGGCGTATATCCAGTTAAGCCATATTAATTTTTTACAAAAGAAATACGATGAAGCTGTAAACATATATGATAAAGCTATAACATTGTATTGGAGATATTTAGCAGAAAATAACGAGCGTCATATTCCTGTTGATTTTGAAGATATTTTTATTAAAAAACATGCAACGCCAGATGGTAATATTGAGCTAACATCTCTATATACGATTATTTTACAATCGTTAATAACGTTGCATGGATGTTATGTAACGCCGTTAAATCTGCGGGGACTAATAATAAGCAATCATTTGCTTTTGAACGTTCATTTCCAAAATGCATCAAAAATTAAGGAATATCTGAAATGGATTGAAAGGGCATTAATAATATTTGATTATTTGTTAACATGGAGCCGTTTCAAAGAAGCTAGAAATTATATTATTGTGATAAATTATGTGAAGTACGTCTACATTGATAAGGAGTATAATAGTATTAAGGAACGGTTATCTCGCGAGCCAAACATTTCCACCAAAGTATTCGATTGGTATCAACAGAGTATGACCGCATTTTACTTAGTTCGTGTGTATCGGGCAAAGTACGGAATTATGCTTTTACGTAAGTCAGCGGAACGATTGCTACGTTTAGAAAAAGGTGAAGATTTTGAGACCAGTTACTTGGATGATGTATCGCAGAAAATACCATTTTTCACCGATATAGAGAAAACTCATACAATCCTAGTTAAATGTGACAAATTGAGAAGTAAATATATATTAAATTATACCGATGCTAAGGACACGTTTATCTTTGCTCTGAGATTGCTGCACTATTCGCAATCAAATATTAATCCCAAACAGAACATGAAAATGTACATGACCGTTATATCAAATACTTGTAACGCATATAAATATATGGCACTTTATGAGAAAGACAGAACTAAGCAGATTTTGTTACACAAACATCGCGCAAACATTTTATTGAAGGTTACACCGCTAATATATTTGATAAATCCTAACATGTTGAAATATTTGCAACTTCAAATGGCCATTGTTTTTTCAACTTTAATAGACCTAAAACTTGAAAAAGCTGAGGCAACTATCGCACTATATATACCAGATAAATATAATTGTATTACCGGAGAGATTAACGCTTTAGTATCGCAGAGCTTAAAACACTTACAAGTATATATGAAACCTAAATAAATAATTATAATAATAACGATAGATGAAAACATGAATTCGATAATAGGTCAAGTCCCTCATTAATTTTGCATTAATGAAAAAAGAAAAGCAATGTTATCCTCCGTTAAAAATAAAAAAGGAACAATATTAAATTTTCGAATTTTACAAAAATATAAGCAAAAGAAATTTATATTACAGTATCAAATATTTTATACTATACCCATTAATATTGCACGATAAATTAATTGTTTTTAGACAATAATATAGTTGGTAATTGCTCAGATGATACAAAATACCCTTAGATCGATCAAAGATAAAATCATTATGTATACCACATCTTGAGACATTCTCCATTTTAAACATGTTTTGGATGATTTCTGTTGCTTGTTGATGATATTTTTTGTTATTTACGTGTTTCTTTAACCTTAAACGAAGATAAGGGATATTTTTTAAATACTTGTTGCTTCTTTTTTATAATCGAAAGTCAAATAATTCTGAATGTAAAACGAAACATTTTACTTGAATACACAATAGTATAATATGTAATATAACATACAAGGACTTAACTTATATGTTACTAATAAATTGATCATAACATGTTTTGTTGAAAACTTTTTACACACAGTTACAGAATGTTTTACGTTAAAATTGTTTGACTGATTATATCAAACAAGTCACTTGAAGAATCCCATGCAGCACAAAAATTACAGCAACATTGCTGCAACATTGCTACAATATTGCAACATTGTTGCAATGTTACGGCAATGTTGCTGCAACTTTCTGTGGTGCATGGGATAGTTCATTCCAATTTATTAGCGAAACCGAATAGTTTATCCCAAATAAATTTTTCAAGTTAGAAAATGTTTTTCTGTATTTTGATAAAAAAGAGACTCGTAAACCTTTAATAGATATTTTAGATTTATTATATTTATTCTGTTATCTTGTTATTATATATAGAGAAAAAGCATTAAAATTTATATTTTATGGTGGTAGAAATTACCAGACTCAAATATATATCAAAGTTCATTCAAGATTCTTTTATGTCACTTCGATTTTTAAATCGACTCCTTCTTCTTTACTAATAATATATTTGTTGAAGTATACGTTTCAGCAATTTGAATTCACATTATTTACTTCAATTACTTAATTTGTAAGAAAAAATAAGATTGTAAGTATATAAAAAATAAAAGGAAAAATAAGTGTGAGCAAGTAAAATATTGTATTAGATTAATATATTTCACATTTCTTTTCTTTTCCTTGATAATTATCTCTCCTATAATTTCTGTTTGCTTGTTTGTACTTTTTATCTGCCTCCCCATCGTTCATATATATAGTTCTCTTCTCAAATTTTTAATTGAAATTGTACTGCAATTTATGCAATGTAATTTGATGATAACGCACAGCATATAGTTTTTATTTGAGTCATTCAACTTTCCTTTTCTTTACGGATTGTTCTGCAGTTTTTTATTAATGTTTTCGGTAGATTAGCAACCTTCGATTTTTAAATAACTAAACGAAAATATTTAGCATATCTTTTGCGTATTATCTTGTCATAGAAACATAGTCTATGGCTGTAAATAAACTGATCTTAAGTGTTGTGGAAACCTTGAATGTAATTGGTTATAGAACTGACCAATGAACTAGTCCTTGGAAATCTCTTGTTTACTGTTAGCGCACATTGTACAAAGTTGTCACGTCTAATAACAATTTCACTTACGTAACTTGACCCAAGTATAAAATTCTTATTGAATTGATCATCGACATATACTTAAAAAATGTCCAGCCAAACCACAAACGAAAGTAAATCAGGTAAAGTAAAAATAATATATCCAAAAGTTCACACAAGTGCGGAATAAACTTTTAATATTGTTTTGTTTACCTTTGATTATAAAAGCAGCATTGGTCGCGAGGCCCAAGAGTTTCGGAAACATACAAATCAGCGAAGAATTATTCCAGACTTTCACAGAGTCACACATATTTACGACGAATTTAAGTAAATTTAGCAAAAAGCAGATCAAAATGATGGAAGCAAAGGCAAACAAACTGTTGCACAAAGTATCCAATTCACAAGACAGAACCAGTGCTTTAATTGTTGCAAATATTTACCAGAATATATGCATCGCACACATTCACTCAAATGAAGCAGGCAAATTACATGCTGCCAAAGATTCTATTCTCAATTGTCTCATTTTGATAAATGATGATGAGTTAAATTGCAAATCTATTTTGACAGTTCTGAGGGCGTATGGCCATTTAGGCTATATTTCTTCTCAACAGAAAAAGATAGAGAAAGCTATAATAGCATATAATAAAGCTATAAAATTATTCGGAACATATATGGAACAAAATGATACTTCTGTGCCTATTGATTTTCAAGATATCATTGTTAAACCGCCTGTAAATATAAATGGTTATGACAAGCTAAAAAATGTATACATTTATATTTTAGAATCATTAATAGATTTGTATATGATTACTGAATCATCGAATCAGTGGAATATAATAAAATGCAGGCATATGCTTTTGGCTGTTGAGTACAGTAAATTAACAAAAACTAAAGCATATTTTGCATGGATTGAGAGAGCATTGAAATTATGTGATTATTTTTTAACGCTCCCATGTCTCAAGGAAGCTGAATATCATATTCTTGCTATAGCTCATGTGAAAAGCTATTACATTGATTATTTAATAAATTTTAATAAAAGCATCAAAGAACAAGAATCTTGCACAGAAAAGACAATTTCCTCGGAAGCGACTTTATATGAACAGAATCGAAGCACATTTATATTATTTACTATATATCAAGCGAGATGGGGAATTATGCTTTTGCGTAGGTCAGCGGAACGATTGTTACGTTTAGAAAAAGATGCTAATTTTGAGACAAGCTGCTTAGAAGATATGCCGCGTGCGTTACGACTATGTAACGAAATAGAAGAAAAGTGTATAAACATAAATGTGTTTTACAAGATGGAAAATAAATATTTGTTAAATTATACTTGTGCTAGAAAAACATTTGTTTCTGTTATGAGATTGCTGTACGATTCGAAATTAACATTGAATCTCATCGAGGACACAAAAGCACTATTCAGCATTGCATTAAACATTTGTAAGGCATATAAATATATGGCACTCTATGAAAAGAAAGCTAAAAGCCAGTTTATATCATATAAGCGTCGCATCGAAATTTTGTGCCATATCGTAGGGATAATAAATCGTAGGGAGAATCGTAAACTGTTAAAATTTTTACAACTTCAAATAGCAATTAGTTTCTCAAATCTAATAGAGCACCAAATTGAAAATATTAGAGGCTGCTCTCCTTCATATGTAATGTCTCCATATAAACTTATTGATAATGATATCGACAATGGAGTGAAACGGAGCTTAGAATGTTTGCAAATATATATTAGATAATTACGATAGATAAATTATGAATTTGATAAGTTATATTCCTTATTAATTCTATATTGATAAAAATAAATACAGATAATATACTTTGTTATGATGTTAAGGATCAAAAAAGCACGAGATTACACATTATCAGTGTTCATAAAAGTAAATTTAAGAAGAAGAAATCTATTTCTATAAGGAAATTGAATATTTTATGATACTTACTCGCGTGATGTATTGAATAAATTAATATTTTGTGATAAATTGATTGCGTCTACGTGATTATATAATTGATAATTATTTCGATAGCATGAAATGTCTTTAGAATATCCTATTTGCATATTTGGTACATCTTAATATATTTTACATTTTGAACACGTTCTTCATAATTCTGAGATATTTTTCGCTACTTGAATATTTATTTTATCTCGAATGAAAGATATATCTTGAATATTGTAGCTATAATTGAAAATGGAGTAACACTATATATGTATGAGAAGCTTTAAATAACTAAAATGGTGTGATATATAATGTAAAATAATATAAAATAATATAAAATATACAAACTCAATTTATATTCCTAACAAATTGATTAAATCATATTTTACCACTTTGTGACATATATATTGTGTTATGTATGTGATATTGATGGTATGTTTTACCTCAATTCAAAATTATTTAACTAATTACATCAAATACTTCGGTCTAAGAATGATCTATTCCAATTCGAATAAGCCAAATTGAATATTTGGTTCGAAATTTGTTAAAAAAACAAAATTTTGAACCCATGATAAAAATCTTTTTTAAAAAACTCGAAAAGTTTGTACTCAGAAAATTTATAAAAGTTTAACAAAAAATTTAGATATGTATATTCTGTTGTGTTAAATAAGAATATTAAAATCTATATTTTATTATATAAAAATTTGCTACGTCAAAAAATATATCAAAATTTATTTAAATTCTTTTATGCTACTTTGTTTATTGTCTATTCGGTTTTTCGCTAATAATAAACTTGCTGAAATGTGCGCTTCGATCATTCGAATTCACTTGATTTCCGTCATTTGTAATTTGTCAAAAAACACAAAATGTGATTCCGAAATCTAAAAAAAGAAAATAAATAATATGGATACGTTAAATATATAAATGTAAAAAAAATAAAATATGTAATAAATCATTATTTTATATATTGGAATGTTTTTTTTTTGCATTTCCTTCGTTATTATTATTTTTTACAATTTCCCGCTTATTCTACTTTTCTCCACCATTCGTACACGCAGCGTTTTGGTCCTCTAATCATTAATTGAAATTATACTGCAATTTATTCTAGTATAATTTGTTAACGTTCAGTTTACCATTCGACCTTCTCGTTTGGCCGGCAGTTCTTGATGTTTCTAGTTTGCCTATTTACTTTGTATTCAAACCAACGGTATTCAACTCAACGGCAGGTCAGGCTTTCTATTTTCAAATAGTGAAACGAATATTTAGCGTATCTTGCATGTAAACGTAGACCACAATTGTAAGTAGATTGATTTTAAATTGTAAACGTTGGACGTAGTTGGATAGAAGACTGACTAATGGATGAGCGAAAATCCTTTATTTACCACTAGTGCACATTGTAGAAAGTCACACACCACGTCAGTTCCATAACTTGGCAAGAATAGAGAATTCTCCTTATATTGGTGTATCGGTCGACGACACATTCCTTGAGGAAGATGTCCAGAAAAGACACATGCAAACCAAAACACAATTCAGGTAATGGGAAAATAATATTTTCGAAAGATCGCAATATCGTGTAAAATAATCATTTAACGTCGTCGATATTTAACATCAGTTACGAATGCGGAGTTGGCCGCGAGCCCCGAAAGATCCAAGGACGCGATGAACTTTAGCAAGAGACTTCTCGCACTGTGCAAAGTATCCTACACATACGTATTTCGAGAGACAAAACACTTTGACAAGAAGCAGTTCAAAGTATTGGAATCAGAAGCCACCGAATTATTGCACAAAGTAACGAACTCAGAAAATACAGAATTAGATGATATCATAATTCTCGCGCAAATTTACTACAATATATGTGAGATACATATTGAGTCAGATGCGAAAAGAAAGCAACGTATGGTCGCAAAGAACGTTCAACATTGTTTGACCTTGCTGACGAATAAAGAGCTGAATTGCAAGTCTATTTTGTTAGCTGTAAATGCGAATAATATTTTGGGCTATATTTATTGGAGACAAGAGAAGACAGAAGAAGCTATACAAATATATGATAAAGCTGTGAAATTATATTTGGCATATATGCAGAAGAAGGACGAGTACGGTACACCAATTGACCTTCGACATATTGTTACTACGTCATGTGGAAAGGAATGTGGTTACACGAAGCTGTCAAATACATATATACTTCTCCTACGTGCCTTGGTGAGTCTACATACAACGACGAAGCCGACAGATAATGAAGATTTAATCACATGCAATCATATGCTCTTGACTGCCGAATTCAATAAATCACCGGAAGCTAAGGATCATTTCGAGTGGATCAAAACAGCAATGTCCTCGTGCAATTATTTCTTGGTGCATGACCGCTTCATAGAAGCGAAACATTACCTTAATATTGCGACTTTTGTGAAAAATAATTTTATTGAGAAAAATTGTCAGAATGATCCCAGCAAACCAAGATTGTCCTCGAAAGTATTGTCTATATGGAAAAGTACGTTCAAGTTACTTCTAATACACTGGGCGAAATATGGGATTGCTCTTTTGCGTGTGACGGCCCAACGATCGCAGCGGTTGGAGAAGAACGAAGATTTGAAGACGGACTACACCGAGCCGCAATCTCCAGCAGAGTCTCCAGAGCGTGCATCGCGGAAATTATTGTTATTTACTGAAATAGGAGAGAAGTTTTCAATCCCAAGTGAGAATATACCGTTTACGTTCAATCACATCTCAAGTTACGCTGACGCTAAGGAAATATTCTTGTTCGTTATAAGGTTACTGTGCGATGAAAATGTAAATTCTTGTCCCGAGGAAGACACGGAAACATATGTAACAGTTGTAACGAGCACTTGTAATGCATACAAATATATGGCATATTATGAAAAGGACAAATGCGACAAGATATTGTTACATAAGCGACGAGCAGAACTCTTAACGACAGCTATAACGTCAATACCTGAAACGTATGAGAACTTAATGAAATATTTAGAACTTCAACTGTTAATTGTTCAGACAACTATGATGGACATAAATATTCGATATTCGAAGAAATGTGAAGCAATATTCGGAACGTATGCACAAGGAACAAATAATGAAGCTTTTATTGAAATTGACAAAATGTTAATGTATGGTTTATCAATTTTACAAAAATATATTGCCAATTAAATTAATTAATAGCCACCACAAATAAATGTGTATTTAATAGTAAACCAAGTTCCTTATTAGTTTCGTATTGGCAAAAATATACACAATGATCTCCTCGATCGTCACGTTAAAAATGGAAAGAGATGAGATTATCAGTGCTTATAAAATTATATTTAGGGAAAACGGTTTTATGCAAATAGTGATTGGATATGTGTTTTACTTTTTTTATTTGTACGTATATATAACAGATTAATTTTATGTGAATACTTAAAGCTAAAATAATATTTTCACAAGATAATATCGTGCTTGAGCGTTTTATATTTCTATTTAAAATAGTGTTATTGTGTTATGTTGTTATAGTTTGATCGGAAATATTACAGAATTGAAATGTCATTGTGTTAGAAATTTGTCATATCAAAATGTACATTAAAGTCTCTTCAAGGTCCTTTGGTTATTTTGATTCCTTTATATTCCTTTGATTCCTTTATATTCCTTTGATTCCTTTATTCTTAATTTATTATTACAGCTTATATAAGCTTTTAATAAGCTTTTAATAATATTGAAGTTATATATTAGTTGCTTTTTCGTAATAAAAGACTAGATATGAATACATAAAAGAAAGGAAGAAAAAAGAAAATGTAAAACGTGTAAATATAAATAAAGTAGCATATGCAATATTGTAGTATCTTGTTGATGTTCTTTTTTGTTATTTCCTTTTTTGTCATTTTCGTCAGTATGCTTATTTGACTTATTTTCTCTTCCGTCGCTTACATACGTTATTTAACTTCTGACTTATAATTAAATTTTTTTTAATTCTATATTTAAGATATTTGATTTTAAAATTTATCCTGGCTTAATTTTTCCTGCATCTTGATTGTCGATTAAATAGCGCAAGATGAATTTTTTCTTATATGTAGTAAATATATTAGCGTGAACATCAGGGAAGACTGCGTTTTATTTTGTATAAAAAAGTACAAAATCATTTATATATACATAATAATACATAATTAAGATATCTACATAGATACATATGAATTCAAAACTATTTGCCACGTGGCAGTCCTTTATCCTCATCTTGACATCCATTGCTGTTGCCGTAGTTGCGACAAGAATACGTCAGGAGACTAAACAACATTCCGACAAATTTCTTATCTTCATACATTTTTTCATTACTGTGTTTATTATAATCATGACCGCGTGTATTCGAAATAATTTAGAGTTTCTTCTTTTTTTCTATTTCCACAAGCGATTGTGACAACAAAAGAATTACAAAATATAATTTGCTTTCAGCCGTTTAGAAAAAATGATTGCACCATGATGTAAAAAAAATAAATTCCTCTCTCCTCCCTTTCCTCTCAGCTGTCATATGATGTATTCAATAAAAGTATAACGGAATCTCCAAACGAGAGAGATACTTCGCGCACGACCACGAATGTTGTTTTTCTGTCATATCTTGAAGTAGCTTCGTTTTTACGCGATAAAATCATAGTTATAGAGCCGAGAATGAGTCGTCGATGGAGCCAGTGCCGTCCGAGTTGCTCTCTGCGGCATCCACGAAGGCCGTCGAGAGATCGCCGGCCAGTTTGCTGACGGATCGGAAGGTCACATCATACATGAAGATCTCCTTGTCACCCTGACCGCCGTTTCTTGGCCTGAAAGAGTACGTCGAGTGAATTCAAGTGAAAGCGCGGCGCGTCGCGAATTCCCCAACTTTCGAGTGGATTCGCGCGGCAGACGAGCCGGTGATAATACACGATGAGAGGAACGCGTTGTGAAGCCGCCGTGGTAAATCGCACGGTACACGGAACACGTATAGGAAGTCAAAATTGCGTATTACTTAATCCAGATAATAAATTACCGAAGAATACGCTAAAAATGTTAATGAAGAATTTATTGAGAAGACGTTAAGGAATTTACTGAAAATTATTCATACTTCTCTGATTAATCTCTATTAAAGAGACAACGAGGATACGAGACGCGAAAAAGCACAAAAGAAAAGAACAAATAAAAATCCGTCGACTATTATTGGCCATTTTCTCACTGATCAGATATCCGAAGAGCCTCAGTGAACATATTCTCGCTTACAATTTCGATATTCGCTAAAACTGACGGAGGATTTAATATTGTGCGCATTAAAGAAGCGAGAGGATGTGACGGACGTTTCCACATAGAGAGAGAGAGAGAGAGAGAGAGAGAGAGAGAGACGCGCGGCGTATGAATTTTCTTAGAAAGTCGCGTTAGAAAATCAGCAATGATTGTGCAATAGTCACTGCCGGCAGCGATGGCACGCGATAAAAAGCTCATGTAACCGGTCCAGCCGATGAAGACAAGCCTCCTCGAAAGCGCGCACTCTCGAAATGTACCTGCAGCGCTAAATGGAAACGAGGAATCGACTGGACCGGCTTATTACAGCGTATCTGTAACGTTCGTTACGCCCGATGTAATCAGGTGGTCACTCACATGGTCACCAGGAGCACGACCGACTGCCGCTCCGGCTCGGTGCGGCTCTCCTGGTCGAGCCATTTCTTGTAGTTCTCTGTGGTGGGCTTCCTCACGAGCTGCTTGAGGGTGTCGCCGGCGAGAAACCTGATCGGCTGCGCGTCACTGGCCCTCCTGCCCTGCCGCGACAGCTCGATCTCCCTCTCCTCGGGAAAGTCGTAGTCGACGGGTGCCAGCACCACGACGCTCGAGATCTTACGGCCATTGAGCTCTGGCACGTCCGGGATCGGGAAGGACGCGCCGCTCACTTTGAGCGGCAGGTAACGATTGTATTGGGCGCTGTCGCGCGCTCCCACGGACACCGGCTCGAGCTGGGTCGCGTCGTCCCGTATATGCTGCTCCGCCACGGCCCGGCCTTGCTCCGTATTCGGATCGAAGCGTATTACTTTCATCTCCACGCCGCCGGGCCGCAAGGTGGCTTGCTCGAACTTGGTGGAGACGGTGGTGCCAGTAGTGACGGCTATCGCCTTCTTCGGCGCGATCTGCTGCTGCTGAGTCGTCGTCGTCGTCGTCTTCGGACTCTTCACGATCGCCGGCACGGGCTCGCTGCCGGCGGCAACGGCGGCGCCGCCTCCGGCGCCGTAGAAATTCGCCAAGGCTTCCGGCGGTAGTTTCTCGATCGGAATGTCGCCGATTTTGTCGTAGTCGAGGATCTGGATGTCGGCGTTGCCCAAAATACCGGAGCTCAGCAACTGCTCCCTGATATCGTCCGGCACTTCGTCCGGTAAGTTGGCGATGTTCTCCTTGATTTTAGCCACCTTCTTCGGGGAGAGCGTCGTGCTGCTTGGCGCCTCGGTGGTAGTGGTGATGGTACTGGTAGTTGTGACAGACGTAGTCGTCGGCGTCGCCGTGGTCGGCAAGAAAGTCCTGATGCCCGACGGTGAGTTGAAGTCGTCGGAGGGACTCACCGGCGTCGCGTAAATCTTCGGTCCGTTGTTCGGGTACACCGCCGGTCGGCCTCCCCATATCGATTGTTGCTGAAGTGGAGCCGTGTGCGGCCGTTGTTCTGGCGCCGGCAGGTTCTGCGAGAGGAAACTTTGCTGAGTCGCTTGGTAAGGCTGATGTTTCGTGTTCAGCTGCAGTTGCTGCTGCTGCTGCTGCTGCTGCTGCTGCTGCTGCTGCTGCTGCTGCTGCTGCTGCTGCTGCTGATGCTGATGCTGATGCTGATGCTGATGCTGATGCTGATGCTGATGCTGATGCTGATGCTGATGCTGTTGATGCTGGTGATGTTGCAGGGTGTCGGCAGTAACGAAATGGCTCGGTGGTGTCCTGGAGAGTTGCTGAGAATCGTGGAGAGCATTGGGCGGTTGTGCGGAGACGTACTGGCTCGGCGAGATTTCTGCGAACGTGGTCGGAGGTTGCACTACCGTAGGATTCGGTGGGAAAGGGCCGGGATGAAGGGGATTCTCCCTGATGGCGTAATGTTGTTCCAGCTTCGGCACTGCCTTGAAAATCTCACCTTCTGGCTGTTGCGGCGCCAACTGCGCCTGATTGTACTTGATCTGCGCGCGATACCGCTGCTCTTGCAGAAGCTTCTGCTCTTGCTCTTGCTTTCGCCTGCGTTGCTCCTGTAGACGCTGCTCCTGCAGCCGCTGCTGCTCTTGCAAGCGTTGCTGGTCCTGCAAGCGTTGCTGTTCCTGCAAGCGTTGCTGCTCCTGCAGCCGCTGCTGCTCCTGCAGCCGCTGCTGCTCCTGCAGCCTCTGCTGCTCCTGCAGCCTCTGCTGCTCCTGCTGCCTTTGTTGCTCGACCAATCGCTGCTGTTCGATCTGCCTCTGCTGCTCCAACAATCGTTGGTGCTCCTGAAACCGTTGCTGCTCGTGTTGCCGCTGATGCTCCCGTTGCTTCAACAACTCCTGCTGCCTCCGTTGTTCATGGTACCGCTGTTTCTCCTGCTCCTGCTGCTTGAACGCCGGTAACGACTGCGGCGGCGGTAGCTCCCCGTTAAAGCTGCTCGGCCTGCTGATGGGCAACGGTTGCTGCGGCGGTTCGCCGTTGAAGTTGCTCTGCGGCAACGGCTGATTCTGCAGGTGCACGCTCTGATGCGACACTGACAGAGTCGGTGGGAAACCCGGTTGCTGTGGATGATTGATACTGACGCGGTGCGGCGGCCCGAAGTTGCTGAACGGCGCGCGCTGTTGCACCTCCGGCAAGCCTTGGATCGTGATCGGGTGGCGTTGCGGTGGCCTCGGTGTTGGCGGTGGTGGTGGCGGCGGCGGCAGAGATGGGTTCCTCAGCAACGGCTGCTGCGGCGGTTGGAACGCTTGATGCTGTTGCTGTTGCTGTTGCTGTTGCTGTTGCTGCTGATGCAAAAAGTTCGGCGGCGGCGGCGGCGGCGACTGCTGCAGCGCCTGCTGCGGAACGAACGCCGAATTAACGATGCGCTGCTGCGGGAACGCGGGTGGTAGTCGGCCAGGGTGTACCGGCTGCAGCGGCTGGTACGGGCCGTGTTGTCTCTTAGGCGTGCCCGGCGACGCGGTCGGCCTGCTCCTTTGTGCGACCGGAGCCTCGAGGTCGCTGCGTTTGTTGTGGCTATTCGGCGGCAACTGCTCTGTGCCGAAGGTCACGCGGATGCCGCTGCTGCCGGAATGATATACCTCGCTGTCGGGCCTGATGATGGCGCGCAAGGTCGTCGATGGCTCCGCCGGCGCCGGTGCCGGCGTCGCCGTGTACGCCGGCTCCTCCGGCTGCGAAGATGCCGAGTCGTCCGGCTTGATCACTTCGTGATCCTCCACCGGCGTGAGCGCCGGAACTGGCGGTTCGTACACCACCCGAGTCTTGTCTCCGTAGCCTTTCTTCTTCTCGTACTTCACGTAGAACACCTGGATCGGCTCCTTGGTCGGCCGCGCCTGCGTCGGCGCCGTCGGCGGCACCGGGGTCGGCAGGGACTCGTTGGACTCCTTGATGATGATCTCGATGATCGGCTCGGACTCCGTCGGGTAGTAGCTCAGCGGAGTCTCCTCGTACAGGTCGTCGCTTTTCGGGCTCGCCAACGGGTTGTACAGGGGATCCCGCTGGGAGTATTGCACTATCGGCTCCATCTGCACCGCGTACGGCGGCAGGCGGCCGCCCTTGCGCAGGTGGAAGGCCAGCTGCTGCCGCTTGTCGCGGCTCTTCGACGACGAACCCTCCTCTTTGGCCAAGGTCGCGGCGACGAGCAGCGTCGTCGCCACAAGTATCTGCAAAGAACAAGACCGATCGGTGAATTGACGGAGGTCCTTTCTGCTTTCCCGACGACGGCTTGACCGTCGTGTTAATGCGCAAGACTATGGTGGGTGGTGTTCGCAGTTGGATGTTATGTGCAGAGCGACTTACTTTGAGACGTCGATCAGACATTTTTGTCTGAAGAGCTTTTCCTTTTTTTTTTTTTTTCTTTAATAATGCATATTTTCGAGATATTTTAGGCGGCGGCTTAAAATAGGTCGCTCTTGTAAGATCGTCCTGAGTTTCTTTCCAGATGCCATGCGGAGTGTCTGAAGAGAAATTGAAGTATAAGATCTGACTGTGAATATGAGATTCGTTTATGACATTCGTTAATAGATTTCGAAGATGTGCCGTTATTCGTAATTAATTTGGGATTGTAATTGGAATTTTCACGAAGCGGCGGGCATATATCGATACTGCTAACACGTCGGTCTAATCGATTGTCGACGTCACAGCTCCCACAATACCATTAGCCTAGCAGTCGAGAATGCAAATTCGCAGAAAGAAGGAGGATTTAACGTGCTCTGATAACCGAATAACCTGTTTAATAACCAGAAAACGCATCCGAGACCTTAACGGGCCGTTCGATTGGTATGCTAGAGAGAATCGAGAAACAGTTAGCCTGATAAGCGATTCCCAGTTGTGATCGCGTTCTCGATATGGCGAGACCGACTTGCGCCGTGCCGGTCGTTCGTTCAACCAACACACGCCGCTCGATTCCCAAACTTCAGTCAACGCGAGATCGTGGATTTCCGTGTGCTCGAGGACATTAAATGACATATCGTGCGGAATGCACTTTTACACAAAGCAGTTATCGGATGATCGAGTTGGAACCAATTAACTGGGTCATCCAATTAATTCGATCATTGCTTTTGATTCCCGCGAATTTTTGCAGAAAGCAGTTCTCCCATTGCACAACCGGCTATGCATTCCGGACCGCATCCCAAAAGAAAGCGTTCACGCTGCTTCGGAATCCAAGGCAATGCGAGCGTACTTTTGCGCATCAATTCGCTGGAATTTCATAACGGAAATGGCCAGACATTTCGACACATCGGCGACTATCACGCGCCGTACGCACGATAGAGCACACTCGCGGCCTGGCCCCGATAAAGTTTTCGGCGAAAAAGTGGGTGAAGTCGGCGGGAAAAGAGAGAGAGAGAGAGAGGGGGAGAGAGAGAGAGAGAGAGAGAGAGAGAGAGAAAGAGAGAATCAAAGTTCGAGCGTCGCGTTTCACCTCGAGAATTCGGTGGCTCTCTCGACTTCGCTGGTTAGCATATTCGAACGGGGCCCCGGCCGCGTGAGCGGCTGTTTTCACGGCGCAGCGCCGCTCGAGGCGCCGCGCCAGCCGAGAGAGCAGGAAGACGGCCCTCCCCCCAGAGAGTAACGTTAAGACCATTAAACGGCCGTCAATCTCAACGGCGGGATTATTCGCCGCCTTGCCGGTCGCGTCTGCCGTTTATCAATGCACTTTCCCCGCGTGCAGGAGCGCCGATACGCTCGCTGATTGCAAATGATAGAACCGCCGGCGTCTCGCCGCGCCGCGACGGGACGCGCTTATTACGATGAAAGTACAAGCGGAGACTCCGGAGACTCTATCCGCCCTCGTCGCGGATAAGACCCGTTATAATTACCAGTTTGGCGGACAGCATGACGATATCGTCGCTCTTCGGGATCTTCCTCGGAAGATCGGTCTGTCCGGAAGGGAGGAGAGAAAGAAAGAGAGAGAGAGAGAGAGAGAGAGAGAGAGACAGAGTCACGCGCGCGAGTCTGCACGCACTCTCACGCACACACGCTTCGCCGGCCTCTGGAGTCTCCGCTTAGTTAGAGGCGGCTGATGCGCGACATGACACCGCTCGAGAGGATCCGGTCGTGCCTCTTGGACGATACCGAGCGGAGACTCGCATGGGAACTGAGGACAGATCGGACTCAGGGGCCAGGTTTCTCCCTATTCGATGCCACCACCACCACCGGTCGCCGCCGCCACTGCCGCCGCCGCCGTCGTCGTCGTCGTCATCGTCGTCAAGAAGCTCCTCTCTAATATCGGAGACGGTGGAGCACCTTTCTCCGCGGGCTCGCGATGCGCGCCGTCCTCGTCGGTGTGCGCTCGTGGCCGCCGTACACGTGGACGCGTGCGTGGCTGGAAAAGACGAGAAGAAAAGGAAAGAATGGACAGAAGGCAGCGTGCGTGGACGTGTGTGTCGACGATGACTTTCTTGAAACCCGGCTGGCGACCGGGTGGGTGACCGGTGGGGACCGGAGATTGTATCAAGCGGCATCACTTTTCCGCGACCTCCAAGGACCACCGAAACCGAAACCCTCCTTCCTTTCCACGAGGTCGCGCGCCCAACACTATTCGGTGAAAGAGCCGGTTGATCGCTTAATGCCACGAAGCCGAGCGTTGCGATTACTTTCGCTGCGGTTTCGCGCTAAACCGGCACTTCCTCGACGAGCGATCGTTTCCGATTTGTTCAATGATCCCTGCCCGAAAGGAAGGATGTCGGATCGATTCGGTCATCATTACGCGAATCACTCTCGATTATCAATTATTTTAATAAAGGGAATCCCCTCCTTAATCGGTCGACAGACAGCCTCCATAATGAGTAAGCTGCAATTACCGCGGCTGCAATTACATAGTCATTAGCATTCTAGGCTTTGACTTTCCTACGGACCTTGCCTCTTTCGGAATAATAGCTGCACACCCATATTCATGAATGTACTCTCATGGGCGGTGTAGTTGCGCTGGCTGCTGGTGAATTTTCTGAAAGCGATACAGTCTTCATTAGTCTCGCCGACAGTGCAAGGGCGTTAAATGTGTTATTGGTTTTCTTTCTCGTGCTATACCGCAGCATTCAATTTTCTTTCATCCACAAACATAGGAACAGAAGGCAGAAAAATACGCGCTGCGTTTAAATAAATGTTACTTGTTTCCATAAATTTATACGTATGCGAGTTCACTACAAGTATCAAATTTACTCTAAATACATTCTGAATCCTAAGTAAGTTTAGTACTTCAAGATCAAGATAATATGAAATTAAAGCAGAAATATTAAATGGAGACAAAATTTCGGCTTGCTTTCTATATATAGAATATAAATTTTATTCTTTTGAATCAGTAAAATCAGTAAAATCAGGCAGTGGCTTTTTATAATATTAAAATAAGTTTTATTTCTGTATTTTCCAAATTTTTTATTTATATAAAAAAATTTATATTCTCTCATTTTTCTATAAAAGTATTTATTGGCAACATATTGTTTTAGTAAGTCACACACATACGTGGTGTGTTGTAGGAAAAAGTCTTTGAAATTTAATTAAATTTAATTATCTGTTACAAAAAACTTCGCATGAGCTACGAATAACACGAGACGTTCCGGCCTATAACTCGCAGAAAAATCTTTTCCAGTAAGTACGATGTCGAAGCTACGGGAGATCTGTGTGGTAACTCGCTCGTTCGCAAGAAATTACAGCAGATTGTGTACAAGTCATGTTTGCCGTTGCGAAAGGAATTGCAGATCCAGTGGAGCAGTTGAACGGAGATGACCTGGTAGAGCAGTCCGTCCTGTCAAGATTGCAAAAGTGCTCTGCAAAAGCGATGCAAAGCTCTTATATTCGCACTTGCGCAACACCGTCGTTCCAGATCGCACGCGGTCGTCAAAGCTAGCTGATTCTCTATCGTCTCTACTGACCCTCTTACGGCCGGCGTTCGATCGCCTCGGAGAGGAAAAAATCAGGACGAGTCGGGTTGCGCCAGAAGTCGAGGAAGAAGAGGAGCAACAGAACGAGTCGTATAATTTCGAAAGTCGCCGCGGATTCTTCTGATTGAACCCGGGTTCTTCTTCTTTCTTTTTTTTTTAATCATCGGCATTAATCAATTTTTGCCGATAGCGATGTCCAGCATTGGCAGCGGAGTCTTTGGCGAACATCCAGGCGTCGTCGTCGAGATTCGTCGTCGCGCGTCCTACTTGCTGACTTTCACTTACGTTGGCGTAAGAGGGTCCAAATAGCTGCCGGGAGGCTCGAAGATGATGAATACATGGACGTCCGTCTGGGACGGTCAGTGATCCGCGCGAGCCAAGGCGATATTTCACGTTGACTTATCGCCATTTCGCCGGGAAACGATATCGTCGCTGGATCCGTGCATAATTTCGCACATGAGAGCGATTCATCACTTTTCCGCGACGCTAGTGCGAGCCGAGCCGAGCCGAGCCGAGCCGAGCCGAGCCGAGCTGAGCCGAGCTGGGCATGCATCTGGACTATTTGTAACGCAATTTGCTCGATTTTCATGTTTCAAGGTAGGCTCGCTAGATCGGCAAGAAGCTGACAAAATACATCGTGCCATGAAGTCATCTGACTCCCGACTTTCTTTCGATTGTCAAATTGATTTCTTCATCCTCATCCTCGTCCGGTGATCCAATGATTGGACTGCAAACTTTGAATTTCTCTTTCGAGGACTGTGTTCGTGTCGACACTTGAAGTCAAACGTTTTCTTCTTCTTCTTCTCCTTCTTCTTAACGATACGTATATTGCTCACTTCCGTACCGTTCGTAAATTTTTATTATTTTGTTCTCTTCACTTGCGGTTCTACCTGTAATTAAGTGTTTTCTACATACAATTTGAGTAGTTTTAAGATATCCTGTATCTCCCGATAAACAGAATTCCATCGGTCTTGGGTCTACAGGCGTACAGGACGTATCACTGCGCAATAAAAACTAAACGTTTACTCAGTAACAGACTTATCTCTCCCATGTAGGAGATACTTTCCAACTGGTTTTCTACAATACGACCACTTTCACGATTATCGTTATCTCAAAGTTATAATCAGATGAATCTTTAGCTTACAATTGATAGCCTTCGAATCTACGAAGGAATGGCACCCGTTTGCTCAATATTTACACCTCTCGTGTCACGCTCGCGTCTTGCTTATGTGTGTGCACATATTGCACCTGCCGCATCGAGCCGCGTGTTCATGCACGAAAGAGCGTGGTAGCTTCCCCGGGTACAAAGGAACGACGTCTGTCGTATCCGTCTACCACGATTGCAAGACCGATCTACCGTAATAACGATGGCGGGAGATTGCGCGAATTTGATTCTCAGGAAAGTTACAGACGATACGATTCACCTTCTACGAGCGCTTAGCCGCTAACTATATATACATAGCGCTTCGAGAGCAGCCCGCTCATGAGCAATAACGTAACTGTTGAAGAGTGAAAGTGCCGACGCCGTAAAGTGGGACGCCGCGGGAATAGCGCTTCCCCTTATAATTAATAAACAAAGCACACAAACGGTTCTCATCGCTCCCGCAGCATCGCATTCAATACGACATTTTTTAGAAGACCTTGCCGAGCGGTTAATGATCAAGACCTTTCCCCGACACGCTCACGTTTCTCATTCAGCAGCCTCGTGCAGGATCGTCGTGGCGGAATCAACGGATCGTTAAAATCTGTAACATATTTTTGGGATGTGAGTGACGTTACACAAATTTTCAAACAGACAATAAGCGAATTCTATTCCGCTTCAGGAGATGAAGTTTGTCTCGATTAAAAGTCTCTCTCGTCGCTGAAAATCGCTTTACAGTAAAGCATAGATAACATACGACGCATGTATCATCCAGGCCAGAAGACCTGTTCGTTAAAAGTTCAAGTCGAGTCATTCGACAGATATGAATTTTCTTTGCAGACTTTCCACAGGATATCTCACGCGACCGTCAACCAACAAAAAAGATGATCTGTTTCCACCGCCGATTTTGGTAGCACACAAAGGTGCGCGTATCACGCGCATATTACGTGGATCTGATAATTAATTCATTACGTGGAAAATTTTCACGTGTTTTCCAGCGTGAGAAAAATATTTCACAAGTGCGAGAGAGGGTGTGTGGTTGCACGCTGCGCGCGTGTGCGCGTTAGCTGAAGTCTGAGTTAATTAAGGGGAAATAAAGTCAACCGGATACGCGATGTAACATATTCGTAAGTTACGGTGACTTTTACACGCGCAAAGATATGTTCATGGAGCGTTGCAGTCGAGCTGCGCCGGCTTTTTCTACATCGAGTTTGAGATATCGGATTTTGTGTCGGCCGAGCGTTTTAACGGTATACCGCCGGTATCTTCGAGTATTGACTATATAAGCGGAAAATGCATAACTACCGTTATATAATTACACACTGCGGGCAGTATCAGACGAAAAATTGCCTGTAATTGACGTTACGCTCGCTGCACTTTCTATTTCAGGTGCAGCGAATTACAATTTGCCGCTGTGCGCGACGTACTCGGTGCAAACTTATCAGAAAATATAATTTTCCATTATCTCCTCGATTGCTCGAGGACGTTAAATCGCGATTTCCTAAGCGATTCCTTCGGTATTAATCGTCAATTTAATGTATCGTGAAGAGTGTGAAGAATAATAAGCATTAACTTTCTCTTCAGCTGAAGCCGCGGCTAGCGGTGATGTGTTTGTGATGTGACTAGACGTCGCTAGCCTCAGCTTTTACAACCGCCAAGTCACGGATGACTATTCGCTTTTCATTTAAAGTTAAGAGTATACATAGAAGTGTCACGCAAATCTTTATATAAGAAAGATGAAGATAATAAAATCATAAAATTCCTAAATGTACATTTACATGAAAAAATCGATGATTATGACTTCATAAATTAGAAGTGACGGTAATAGACCTCACGAGAAAAAGAAACAAATCATAAATAAACAAGCTAAAAATCTGTGGATGATAAGAGGTAAGAGAATACCAATAATCTGCGCATCCCAACTTTACCGACCATCACGTCGCAACAATGGCGACACTCGTAGAAACGTGCGTGTGCGAGGCCTGCTCGGAAGCTCGCGTAACGATCCAACAGATCTTCGATGTATTAGACATATACGGTTGGTTGTTAGACTCGTATGTGGTGGTACGTAATATGATAACAGTAGTTTCTCTCTCATATCGCACCTTTCGAATCCAATAGTTGTCATTCGTCCGAACCTAATCGCCATACATACTATCGTGAATACATGACGTTCTTATCTCGTTATATATTTTGAGGAATAGATTTTTCTTACGGAATCATCGTGACTATTCGCATTCCAGGATTTTTTTCAGGAGCAATTGTGGGAAAAGCTGCCAAACAGCTGGAAGCTCATTCTGCAAGGAGTATCGCCCGAGGAGTTTGGGACATGGTTAGGTGGTGACATCTCGTGGTGAGCGCTGATATAACTTTACCTCGGACTAACGCGCGGATATTTAAATTAAAGAGACACTTTAAACGGTTGCATTCTTAATTGCCTTATTTTAGTACGCTGTATTTCAACACATTACTTAAATATTGATTAAAAGCTGCGATAAAAGAAAAAGAAATGTCTAATTGTTTGAGGAACTTTCTATAAATTTTGTTAATTGAATTCATTTTGCAGTACACGCGTGTGGCCATTGTCACTGCTCGCGTTACGACAAGTTACATGGAATTTGCAAATCAACAGGGATCATCGAAATCACGAGAGCACTTTGCGATGCGGTAAAGTAAAGAATGACGCGTACCATAATTTGGAAAATCTTATCTTGGAGGGTAAAGGTGAAGAGTCGCAGAATCTGCACGACGCTTTGAAGAAACATAACAATCTCTTCCTGAAACACGTTAAGATTAAGAAACGGCACGAGATACAAGAGATAGCGAAGGTATAGACGGTTAATTTTCTAAAATAATGCGTTAGATTACATTGCACACTTTTTTAAGTATTTACGAATATTGTAAGAAATTACTTTTTGCACAGATATGCGCGGATTGCGCGCGCGAATCTAATGCAAAATGCATCGTGGACGTTGGAGCAGGAATGGGTCATTTAGCCCGATCGTTAGCATTCAAATATGGCTTATATGTAACATGCATTGAACAAAATGCGTCACTGTCGCAGCAAGCCAGGTGATACAATATTCTCTTCATCGTGCTTACAATTATACTCATTTAGTAAACAACAACTAATGCTAACGTTATATCGAAGCTATAATATCAAAATTCCCTACACAGTAATATAAGTGCAATATATATTCTACAGTAACAGTTATTGTTTAGTAGGAGATTATAACATGAATGCAATGTTACTGTATTTTTGTATGTAGATTATTGACAATATTATTGTTTATCTTTATTCTTTCATTATTCTATTTTTATTATTGTTATTTATTGTCCGTTCACCAATATAGAAAATGGGATCGAGAGTTGTTGACGTCTATATCTAAACATTTGCCTGACTTGCCGATTAAACTTCCGCAACATGTATCGGTTAAATTGGAGAATACAGACCTCGAGCAGACTGAGACAGTCGAGAACATACAACGGATATTCTCGGAAAATTTTAATTTGAGTAAGACGCAAACTGGTTTTAGTATTGTCGGGCTACATCCGTGTGGGGATCTCGCAGCCACACTACTGAGGTTTTATATCTCGAGGCATGAAGCGAGATTTATTTGCATTGTGGGATGCTGCTACATGAAATTGACATTAAAGTATGTCCATGAAACTCGCTGTACTCACGACGTTACTTTCTTAGTATTACAGTTACGTTAAATAATGTATTACATTTAGGGACACGGCGGATGTCTTGCATGGATATCCGCTCAGTAAATACTTGTCGTCATTCGAAAATCACAAGCTGTCCTACACAGCGTTAGAAGCGGCGTGCCACGCTATGGAGAGTCACTGTGATAAACTGAGAACTGGAAACTACGAAGATTTAATAGTTAGGTGTCGTATAATCAACTTGAGGGAAACACGAACTCATTATTAACAAATTGTGCGTTGCTTCAGGTACATGCTTACAGAGCCGCTCTAGAAACCATTTTAATAAGACGAAGTAAGCGACTACGTCATATTCAAGTGAGGAACGTCAAAGTGGTGAAACCTCTAACGTTTCAACAGTTGAGTGATTCTAAATAGTTCATTCAGATATTATATTTAAGATTAGACTACGAATATTCCTGATGTTTTCATCAGGAATATTGTCGAATTTTGTAACCGTAACTTGTTGCGACGTTAATCGATCATACTTATATTTTTCTTTTCTAGATATTGCGCAGCCGCAACTGCGGATTTTGAGTCGTACTTGCAACCTAACGATTTGGACTTTGAAAACTCGCAAATAAAGTATTTTTTGAGCCAATGGCGACAAATTGTGATATTCGGAGCATTACGTACGATGCTGGCACCATTGGTGGAGACTGTGATATTACTAGATAGATTTCTGTTTCTTTCTGAGAATAACCTACCTCCCACACTGAAGCCTATCTTTGACGCCAGATTATCTCCTCGAAATTTTTTATTGTTATCAGTAAAAAACTGTGAATCATCCTCTTGATCGTACCTTTATATTATTGTGTTTTTATGTTATTTCCCTATAAAACTCTTCCAAAAGAAATCAAACATTCTGTGAATTAAATTTCATTACGAAAGAGAATATTGACACACTGAGAGAAGAAATATCTAAAAAAATAAAAAATATTTACTGCTGCACGCTAGTGACATATTTGTTTAAACCAAAATTTTTTTATTTAAATAAAACAATTTTGTTTTTATAGGAAGTTACAGGTTTAAGAAAATGCATACCTCTTGTATGAAAAAAATAAATTTTTCTTAATATATAAATAAATATATTAGTATAAGTATTTTAACAATATCAATCGAATAAATAAGTATATATATATATATATATAAACGGCCGTATTTCTTAGTGTTTCAAAATAACGCAAAATATTGCAACAAGGCGATATGATACTGACCCCCTGCTGCTTTCTGTTACGTGGATTATATAAATACTTTCAAGATAATAATTAAAATTTGATACAATCAAATATATTTTATTGACATATTTTCACACTCGAAATGATAATATTGTTCCGAGTATTTTTCATATATTTTATATTATTTATATTTTATATTACAAGATGTACAATAAAAATACATCGTAATCGAGACTCATATCGATACCGAGCGCTGCGATATGTGCAGTCTCGAAACGGATCGTGGCGCGGTAGTTCACATCCGAGAAGATACTTCATATTTCTCATGATTTTGACTCGCCAAAGATGGATCTCGCGGTCGATTTAGCGTCGCCGGGACTGCCGAAAGTAAGTGTCGAGCGTGTGTCGTGATAGAACATCGTCAACTAACCGTCAAAAGGAAATATCCGCTGTTGAAAGTGTCTGTCGAAAGAACGTACGGTCGTCGCTTGGCGAATCGAGTTCGCTATTTATGTACATCTTCGACACACTGAAAAAGTCTCATACGCGTACTATCGTCGTCAAAAGTGCCGACAGTAAGTACCGTTCGTATACTGTCACAAAATATCATTAATCGGTCGCCAAGGCGCAACATGTTGCAAAATTGGCCATTGAGGGCATCCAACGAAGTAACGTAAATTTTGCCTCGTCATGATGACTCGAATTCAAATCTCCACCGGTTACACCCTCGATCCGTCCTATTGGAGATCTCTTTCTTATAGGAAGAGAGTGGCAAACTGATCACGTGACCAGTACCTATTATGGAACTCATCGGAATCGGTTCCGATCGAATTTATTCCGTTATTTCCTAGATTTCTATTGTCTCTTCTAGGGGAAACGGAATTATTCCGATCGGAATCAATTCCGATGAGTTCCATAATAGGTACCCTGGTCTCTGCTGATTCGATGGAGGCACAAAGTCTTGACCAATCGAGGTATCGATATAACAAGACGACAGGTTGGTTTTACAGTGAGTTTTAAAAACAGTCTAGGTATTTTATATTATGCACAAGACACAAAATTATGTAAATAACTATATATTACTATTCTTATTCTATGTAAATCGAAACGACAAATATTCTTTCACAATTGATACTTATTACTTACGGATATCTGATTCTTATTGCTGTTATTAATTCGTAGGCGAATATCTTGTGCGACGCTGACTCGTCGTAACTTCCTCTAATGATTGACAGATGTATGTACGTCAGACTGCTTTAAAAACTCACTGTAAAACCAACCTGTCGTTTTGCTATATCGATATTCTAATTGGTCAAGAAGGCTTTGTGCCTCCGTCGAATGGCCTCCGTCACGTGGTCAGTTTGCCACTCTCTTCCTATGAGGCTCTCTACGTCCTATACTCAAAATCGTTTTCAAATGCTATATCGATCCTTTCATTGCCTAATAAAAACATCTAAACTTGAAATTTAGACCATTTTAAATATGAGATCCGGCTACGAATGCCGCTTGTATGCATTTTCGGAAGAATTATTCATCGAAAGATTTGTCGGCGAACGTTGATAAAACAGAGCTTGCGATACCACATAATACACTAGTACGTTACGCCTCTCACTCGGCCGATAACGACTGTTCGCTTTCCGACGAATACGACGGGACCGCATCGACCAATAGCAGGGGCAGCGCCCAGTGCGGATTGGACCAAACGGCGCGGACCAATCAGCTCACGCGACACTCGGCCGCCTCCGGCCGCGAGCTCCGTTCGCGTCATTCATCGACAGGCAGGGAGCTTAAGGAACGTTCCACGGCGTTCGTGCAGCGCCACCGTACCGGTAGAGCGCGTCACGGTAGCCGGTGCTAGCTCGCAGGAAGCGTTGACGTTCGTCGTCTTGTCCGGCGAGATCCAGTTCACTTTAAGCCGCTCTCGCGTGTTTGTCTGTTCTCGTCGCGTCGTGCGTCCTACCTACCGATTATTTTCTCCTCCTCCCCCCTCCCCTCGCCCGCGTGTACAAAATCGTCGGTACGGTGTAGCAAGAAACCGCGCGGGTACTACATATAACACGCTCGTGTCGTCGTTGTCGTCGTCGCCGTCGTCGTCGTTGTCGTCGTCGTCGTCGTCGTCGTCGTTGTCGTCGTCGTCAACGTCGCCGCTGCCGCCGCCGTCGCCGCCGTCGCCGCCGTCGTGGTCATCGTGGTCGTCGTGATCGTCGCAGCACCGAGTGGCTCCTGGAGTGAGTACTGGATTTTGACGCATCGTTCGGTGCAACGTCCAGGATGGCGTTCAATGGAGACGGTCCACATTCTAAGAGACAGCGGCTCGAGGAATCTGGACACAGGGTGAGTACAGTACAGACCCATGCGCATTATTATCTCGTCGCGTCGGTTCGGCGTCTCGCGCGATTCGCCTCGGCCTCTATGCTCTGAAAGTACCGGGAATAAAATGACGCAACGAGAGAATGGTTTCTCTCTCTCTCTCTCTCTCTCTTTCTCTCTCTCTCTCTCTCCCCTCTCCCCTCTTCCTGTCTCTTTCTCCTCTGTGTCTCTCTCTTTCTCTCTGTCTCTTTCCTCCTCTCTCTCTCTCTCTCTCTCTCTCCCCCCCCCCCCTCGCTCTCTGTCTCCCTCGGTCGCGTTCGCGTCTCGCATTCGTCGGCGTTCGACGACGAGAGGAGAAGGCGCGTCGCCATTTATCGGAGTAATGATCGCGCTCGAGAGCACGGCAGCAGAGCGCGTGTTCGCCGACGACGCCACCACCGCCGCCGCCGTCACTACCACCACCGCCACCGCCGCCGCCGCCGCTGCTGCTGCCGCTGCCGCCGTCGCCGTCGCCGTGCGCGTTCACGACGCGCTTTTCGGAGCAACGCGCGCGACGCCATTTAACCGCGATTCCTGCCGTCACGGCATGCACGCACCGCGGAACGCGCGTCGCCGGCGCGCGTTCGTTAACAATGGGCGACAACAGTCGCGCGGATAGGCTATCGACCTGGCTCGCCTCGAGAGTACGACTCATCTTGCCGACTCATTATCGACTTGCCGGCGTTCAACTGTCTTCCCCAGCCGCTAATTGCGGCGACGTAGATTTGTTTCCCGTCGTTCAATCGCGTACCGCTACCTTACTCCGGTTCTCTTTCGCTCTTTCCTGCGACGAGGCTCTGCTCGACTGTGCTCTTGTCTCTTTGCGGCTTGCAAGAATGTACAGTTAAGCGGCGAGAAAGCGGGTCGTAGGGTTGCCTTTTGGCGCCGGACTGACTGCACCGCCTTGCTTCAGCTCTTTTCTCCTTTCTTCCGACGAGTCTCGACTATATTCTTTCGGGATTCTATTCTTCGAGGACTATATTCTTGGCCGGAAATGTACGCTAGCTTGGCAATAGAAAACGGACCAAATGTGTCGTTGGAGAAAACATTTTCCACCCGAACCCAATCTCCCGAGATCTAAGCTCTAAGACCGGTACTTATGGTGTTAGGTTAGATCGAATTATGTATTTTAGGTTAGCTTTGGTTTGGGTCTGCAGCGTAGGCACAGTAGCGCTGAATTACATCGTCTGGTTAGTGCAAAATAGACGCGTATCCGACGTTAGAGACAGGAGATGTAGGAGAACGGGAAGGTTGCACAAATGCCTGGGAAAACATAGCTGTAAACACAGACGGTGCGTCGTACGACGACGTAGACGTTGCCTGCCATTCACTTCGAGGCCGCGTCAATGTTATCCTGTCGAACGTCGACGATGCCTCGTGTCGCGGAATATCACGCGATCGTGATTTCGGCAAACTCCTGATGCGTTCTCTCCGCTCCCTCCCCCCCCCCCCCTCTCTCTCTCTCTCTCTCTCTCTCTCATCTCTCCGCTCCCAGAAAAAAGAAGTTGCGTGGTCGACCTCTTTTATCGTGGCCAAGAGATAAGTGTGTTTGTTTAGCTCTTGATACGTATCTCTACGTGTGTACACTTTTTGCGCACACAGTCGAATTCTCCTTCGCTGCCGTTGTAGAGTGATCGATCGTTTTAGACCGTATAATTTAGAGCGGCGGGTCTATGTACGTCGCTCGCGCGGCGCACCGATAAGCGAAACGTGAAATAATGCACGCGCGTTGATGAAAGGAATGACGCGAGAACCGAGTACAAGGTCAGTCTGAGCCCTCGAGGAGAGCGCATCAGCGCGTTAGTTACGTTTCCGTTTTCGTCGGCTTCGCGATACTTTGCACGCCCTCGGCCTGATAACGCGCGAAATATTTATCCGAGCGAGCCGACGAGCTCGCACAGCCTCGCCTCGTCCGCAGGGAGGTAACAGGGAATCCCTGCGAGAATAGGATAATACACATTTCCTTTGGCATTTCCCTCCTTGGCTGCGGCGTTATTCGACGAGATTCCCGCGATTCCGGCTTCTTGTTCTCCGAATGTTTGACACCATTGGGAGACCGATGGAAATTTAGATGTTGTTTGCTCGCCCCGCGTGGCTCGGGTTAGTTAATCTTTCGAGTAATCTTAAGATAATTCTTATCGATTGAGAATCGTACCGAGAATCTCAATGCGTTCCGTTTAATTCGATCAAAATTTCACCGGCCATGTGACACGTCGTGTTCAACACCGGGGAATAAAAATTTAAAGATTCGCTGCACTCTGCATGTTCTCTAATAAAATTCTTCGACTAATCTTAAATTAATTCCTACTGATTGAACGCCTGAGAGCTTGATTCCGTTTAGCTTGATAAAAGTTCCACCGGCCGTGCGGCGCGTTGTGTCTCTTGAATACCATCTGGAGATAAAAATTTAGATGCTATCATTCGTCGAACGGCTCTTGCTGTGATGGATTCTTAAATTGATCTTAATTTTATTTTTACCGATTGAATATCTGAGAACATTCGTTTGGCTCGATAAAAATCTCACAGGCTGTGCGACGCGTTGCGCCGTTTAACACCATCGGCAGATAAAAATATAGATATTATCACCACGCGGCTCTTATTAATTCTTATAAAGTAATCTTAATTCTTTCTTATCGGATATCCGAAAATCTTAATATATTTCGTTCGGCTCGGACAAACTTTAACACATGCCGCCGACATAATTCTACGCTTACGTGCTGCTCTGAGATCGTGTCAAATTATCAATCACGGAAGTGTCAAGCGTGGCGGAGCAACAGTTTGACGGATAACGATAACGAGGAATTGTAAAAATCCGTATGACGAGAAACGTGTCCGTTCGACTCGCGAGGCGGGTTCCAATGGCGGAGTTCAAACAGCAATTCGCGCGCTCAAACGTATTTGAAATTTTGCCGATAATTTTACGATTGAATTTTTAACTGCAATCTTGATTTATTCTAATTAATTCGCTATTAAACACATTTATCACGTTCACTTGATTAGTTATATATGCATATATCGTTGCTGATTGCGAATTATTCATTTTCCGGCGCACCAGCGACAGAGAGAGGGGGAGAGGAGGAGGAGGAGGAGGAGAGAACCGTTTTTCCGAAATGATCCTGAAAATATCCCGATTTCTGGGCACGAATGCCCAGTGATTAACGGGGGGATCGGGGGTGCACCTTGATGTCGCGACGACAACCTGTTATCCAGACGCTCCTTGACTATACGCCGGTCGTCGCGTAGTGGTCGTTATCGTTATCGCTAATGGCGATGAATGCGCAACGCGGGAATGCATATTGAAAACCGAGCTCGATGCCGAGTTAGGCCGCGTTGCGTCGCTCGCGCCCGGTCGTGGTCGATAATTCCGGACGCGTTATCAGCTCGCGATGCACGGCATCTATCTCTTTCTCTCTCTCTCTCTCTCTCTCTCTCCTTCCGTCGAGATAACCGCGACGTGTAGACGACGACGACGACGACGACGACGACGACGACGAAGAGCGTGAGCAGGAGGTGGGGAGTTGGAGGAGGAAGCCGAGGATGAAACGAAGGCAGGATTCGCCGATTTATTTCTGCCGTAAAATCTTTCTTATGTGCGATCAATAACCGATACGCAGCCATCGAGAGAGAGAAAGTGGGGAGGGGGGGGGGAGTGAAAGGAGAGAGGAAAGAGAGGATTCCACGTAGTTCACATTTTATTATCTTTTTATACTCGGACGCCTCGCGTTTCTCTTAGCGTTCTTTTTGCGCGGTTGCAGCCGCCTCCCTCTTGCCCCGCCCCTCGCGCCCGTCGATGTACACACAATCGCTGTTCTTCGCTTGGTACTTGGTACTTGATTTATTCACCCTCCTCTCCCGCTGCTCGCTGCAGCCGCTCGGCGAATATGTATGTTGCATTGTCCGGTATTGTGCGGGACGCGCGCGCGCGCGCGCTGCGCCGCACGAAAAGGGAGTCTCTCTACCTGACCCTTTTCATTGGCCCGACGCAACTTCTCGTCCTCATTGAATTTAAAGTTGCATCCGGTTGCCGTTTGTCGTCGTTGCGCGACGGAGCAACTGGTCGTCGCGAGCGCTCGCCGGTGGCCCGTCGGGTTCATAATCCGGTCGCTAACGCGTGTAAATCGACTCGCTCGTCGCGCGCACGCGGGGTCGATGGAACCCTCGTTTTACGTCAGACGCAGCGAACGTCACGCGGCGCAATTTAAATCGCGCGGATGCGCTGCGCCGAAGATACATGTGGCCGGTCGCGGCGCTCGCGGTATCGAACACAGAGATCTTACCGCGATTACTTTCGGGGGATTATCGGCACGTTTTGATCGTCGCGGATTGTCCGCATCCCGGCGAGATACCGGCTCGTCCTCCGCGTGTTACACATGGAGAGCACAAAGAGCTCGCGAGAAATAATACTGTTGACACACTTGCTTCTGCTTAATTTGTATTCGGTGGAAAATCAGGCGCTCTTCCTCCCTCTCTTCTTCTATTTCACTTTAATCCCTTGACATATAATGACGTCTGTCTCCCAGACATCATTCATTTCATGTGCCATTGTAGACTTTGACGTCTCCGAGACGTCAAGAACTGTCCCTCCGGCGGACGCCGAGAATCGTGCGTCGATTCTGTTTTGTTTCAAATGCTCATTATAATGTTACTTAATTATTGTCCATTAATATAATATATCAACCTGATTAAATGTTATATAGCAGTGCAAATTTCAAAATAAAATGTTCTGTTTCTAAGCTTACACATAACTGTTCAGCTGAGCCAAATTAAATAGTATTTTTCAAACGCATCAAATTCCGTCTTATTTGTACGTCAAGGGGTTAACGACGAGTCGACGGACGGGAAATGAAAATGGAAAAATGTGCGATTTTCGACGGATGATATATTAAAGAAGATATGTTATAAAAGATACATTATATTACAAGGGAGAGATACACATTATGGAGCAGTATATTGTAGAAGATTTATCGTATCTAGTATTTCTTTAA